CTTTTCTCCTCGTAGCACGGTTGGATTTCAGAAAATGAGATAATTCAAGTGGGTGAGAGTAGTGAGAATACTCTTTCTCTGACTGACAATGACAAAGTTCAGTGTGCATGCTTCAGGTATTATAATGTGAGGAATGTTTTGCAATATATATATTAACATGGTGATTTACAGCTGTGTGTGACTTTGTATTATGTGTCCTGTCAATCTATATACTGTCCTGTTTGTTAAAGGTCCAGTGTGTATGATTTAGTGACATCTAGTGGTGTAGTTGCAGATTGCAACTTGCCTCACCCTCCCTTTCCAGGCTCAAAGTTGATATTACAGTGGCCGTGAAATGTGCAAAAAACACAATCGCCTCTATCTAGAGACCTCAGAGTTTTTGGTTTGTCCCTTTCCGGGCTACTGCAGGAACATGGGTGTTCAACATGGCGGCCTCCAGGGAAGGGGACCCACAGCATCTGTAGATATAAAAGGGTCACTATAAGGTAACAAAAAGAAAACAATTCCTGTTTTCAGGTGTATTTAGATTCTCCTAGATGTTACACACTGGACCTTTAAAGATCAAAACTGAAACACAAACTGTTGCATGCAAAAAAAAACTGTGTCACAGCTTTTTGAAAGAGGTATTGGATATTTGTCAATCGGTTTGTTTAAAATCAGTTAACCAATAATTCAGAAAGGCATCTAAACGTAACTCCAGAAATACAACAACCCAAGTAGAAGGTTTGTTTTTCCTTCTTCCATGTTTAAGTATTGCCCCACTTCGGATTGGCAACTGATAGCAGGAGCCGTGAGTAAATATTGTATAATAGGTCATCGTAGTGTAGTATCTCTGTTTTTGTTTTGTTTTCTATTAGTTGGTATGATATATTTATTTATTTATTGTGGACTAATTAGTTTCCCACTGAGAAATTAGTCTGTTGTTAATTATTTTGGCTTCAGTTCCCCCTGACAAAAGCAGTAAATAATTTCCCTAAAGCACAAACTGAAATGAAGAGGCCAGATTCTGCAGGTGATTGTGTCCGAGATGATAAACTACGACGGTGCTGGTGTGCATCCAAATGTTTTTCTCTCTTCAGGAACCCGGCAAAGAAGGAAGTGGTGGTTGCAGCCAAGCCGCACAAGCTCTGAAAGGACTCTGAGAACAAAGCTACCTCCAAGGAGCACAACGGCAGAAGTGGAAGTGGCAAGAGTTGTTGTTATTGTCTGGAAAGTGCATGTGCAGACCAAGCCACAGCATTACACAATAAGCAAATATAATGCCAAAGCATTGTCTGCATGTAGATGTTCAACAGCCTCCTGTCTGCTGAGGAGATCATTTTAAAATTGTTTGCGGGCGACCACAGATAATAACCAGTGGAAGATTGACTGAAATGCTGATACTAAGTAGAAGTAGAAGATCTCTGAGGACAATGTTTGTGCGCCTGCAGGCTGCCACCCGCTCTCTCTCTCTCTCTCTCTCTGGTGTTCAGCTGCGATCCATTAGGCAGTCAAGATCTATGATCCCTGATTTGTTGCAAATATCACACATATTTCACTTTTCATTGCAGACGCAGTTGTGCCAGATGTGTATTCTGATGATCTGACAGCAGACTGACATAAAACAACCATGTCTGCAGATGTAAACCAGAATCAACTGTATTACTTTATTATTAACAACTATATGGACACATACAAGGAATGCATTATTGCTGTCAGTGTTACAGGATAGAAATAAACATACAGCTGATAACAAGGACAACACTATAAAGCTGTGATCTTTACAAATTATACTGAAAAGAAAACAAAATGTTTATATCATTTTTAAGTTTAGGTTTCATTTGTTTTGTGATTTTCTCAAAAATCACATTTCAGATTGCTACCAAAAGTCAGCATGATTTTATATGTGTGTTTTGTGCCTGTGGTGCCAAAAAAGAGGAGGAGTTATGCGTCAGAAGAGTAATGAAAAGAGGAAGTCATCTATTCAGAGAGATATTTTTACCCACATTGCTTTTTTGATGTATTTCATGTGTTTCTGCAGGTTTGATCATTTTGTGTTTTTATGTCTTTGTGTTGCCGATAGCTGCGACTGGAGGCATTTTATTCTTGTGATCTCAGGAACGAGGCGAGCAAAGTTCTTCAAACTGGACACAAACTTTTACTCATACTCAAGGATGAACTGATTAGAGTTAAATGTCAAAGGTCACTGTGACATTACAGAGCACTTAAGAACTGATGAGCATAGTTAACAATTGGTCGGACAATGAATCAGTGACAAAAAAGGTCAAAAGTCACCTCAGAATGACAAACATGTTGTGGTCATAACTCAAGAAATGATGCAGTAATTATGACATAAGTTCACACAAATGTTCGATGGGAAACAACAATGAGGTGATGACATTTCTTTATCCAAAAGGTCAAAGGTCAACCTCACTGTGACATTATTGTTATTATTCAACACCACAATCGTAGGAACAGAAGGGGAGATTGTGACCTCATTTCACAGTTACACTGGATCGGTGAATTCGGTGATTCCAGTAAACAACCGAGAGAACAATCACCAGCACAGTGCAGGCTTTCATCTTTCCATCTCATTCATTCTGCCTGTCACTTCCTGCCTCATTCAGAAGTTTTGAACATCATCTGAATCACGTGACCGCAAACAGCGTCTAATGGAGGCGCCTAACTAATCGTGCTCCTGTGAGTGAGTTTCACCCACAGCAAGAGAAACCATTTTGTAAAGCTATACTTCATAAGAATCCATCTTTACGTGTAGCACATGTGTACATGATCCTTTATTAATCAGTTCAGGAGTTTATATCCACTGAAATCATATATATGTATCATTAATATAGTGATAACTTACATTTAGCCAAAGAATACACTTTATTTAAGTATTCACCACATATAATATATGAGTCTGGACAGACATGGATGTAAACTAACAAACACAACACAAGGTGGTAACTCTAGTTTTGTTTCCTCATCTAAGTTAGGACACAACTGTTGTTATCATGTAAAACTAATAATATAATTTACTGTAATATCTACTGAATATTCTTGATTTAAACAACAACACACTTTTTAATTTTAATAAAACAATGTTATGTGTGTGTGTGTGAAACCAGTGGGCTTCGTTTTGTAATTCTCCCTGTCTCTACATATTGAAAAGGAGGATTTAAAGGTTGATGTCTCAATACAAGCGGGGCACCCTTGTTGTGTCTGACAGTCAGGTGGGACTTTTCTTCCACTGCGAGGCAGAACTGGATCGGTTTTGAGCGGCAGGAGGAAGAAGAGAAGCCAGTGAGAGAGTGGTGACCTTCTGTCCCATAGCTGAGGCCCTGATAATCTCACATCAAAGTCTGAGCGCCACAGAGACTTGACTGCAACGTTCCCCTCGCTCCCTGACTCTGTATGAGAGAAGTCTTCAATCACAAGACGAAGCGGTTTTTTTTTTTCACGTGAAAAACATTTGAAATTGAACCGGAGTAAGATCAGTGTAACAACCTGTGGTGTTAAGAGGTTTAGAAAAGCTTTATCTCAATGCAGAAACTGGACAAAAAACTTTTAGATTCCTCATTTAATTGATTGATTATCATATCCCAACTTAACATTGGGATATAAAGGAATTAGCTTCTCATGTCGGCTACAATGCGTTGCCAACTTTTTTGCACTAATTATACTGACATTCAAATGTTTGCTTTTCACCAGTGACTGAAGAAGTATTCAGATAGTTTACTAGTTAAAGTAGCAACACCTCATTATAAAAATACTCATTAACTAACACTAATTAATACATAAATTCAAAATACTCATTATACATGCATTAATGGCCTCTGACAGTGTTATATTATTATTAAAAAGGGCCTCAAAATTGTAAAATTGTACTTAAGCATGGGTAATTGGGTAAATTTACTTTCAATAACTGCTTTTCAGTGGGTTTGTTATGCTATATGTTATATTTTAAGGCTGGTTTGTAACACAGAACCTTTGAGAGTCAGAACATGTGCGATCTTCCTCATTGAAAAAGGGGAAATTGTGAACTTGGAAAATTCAACATACTTTTATTGTAAATAAAAGAGGATTGTAAGACATATAAAGTTGTATGTATAAGATAAAAGGCCTCATAGTGTTATTGATATTGCATTTACCAATGTAAAACCCATACAGCTCTGTTTGAATTGTAAAATACACATAAGGCAAATTGATTAATCTGGGTTCGATTGGTAGGATTTTACATTTTAGGTATTGCAGTTAATCTGGTAAATGCATCAATAACACTAACAAATAAGGTTAAATCTTACTCAAACAACTTAATATCTCCTTCAATCATCTTTTATTTACAAAAAAATATGTTGACTTTTCTCAGAAGTTTTCTCAAATTTCCATCTTTTCAGTGAGTTTGTTTTATTATTGCTTTATTTAAAAAAGGTTTATAACACAGAACATCTGGAGATCAATGAGGAAGATCCCACATATTCTGAGAGTGCACCAAGAAAAAGAAAAAAAAAGTGGAAATTGCAAACTTCCCAGAAAACATTTGTCTGTAAATGTGTAAAACATACTAAGTCGTATGAGTAAGATACATATTAAGCCTCATTGTTAGTTAGTTATCGATAATGCATTTACCAGATTAATAGCTAAAAGGTTACACACAGAAAAAACTAAACAAACCCATACAATCGAGCCCAGATTAATCAATTAGCATCATGTGCATTTTACAATTGAAACAGACCTGTAGCCATTGGGACACACTCGCTGTCACTCGAGAAAACCACCAGAAAATGCTTTAATTGTATTTGCAGCCCGGCGCAAGCCCCGCCCCCCGAGCGCTCCGATTGGCTGCTTTCAAGAGTGCTTAAAATCCCAGCTCCCTGATTGGCTGCGAGAGCTTTCTGTTTTGGTTGCCTGCCAGCAGCCGTCTGGATAGCGGGAGGGGGGGGAGAGAGAGAGAGAGAGAGAGAGAGAGAGAGAGAAGGGGAGGGGAAGAGAGAGAGAGCCCTGTCTGCCTTCCGCTTCTGGGCTGGATTGACACACAATGAGGAGCAGAGGCTGGGGAGACGCTCCACAAACGCCGCTGTAAATAAATACAACAATCACTGAGGCCAGAGCAAACATGGAGAACCAGGTACGGTGGCTTTTGTGTCTCCTTGTGGGATCTGAACTTTTTTTTTTTTTTTTTTCTAAAAGAGGAGGGGGGGTGTTTTTTTTTTCTCTTTACGGTCACGGAGGTTTTTTTTTTTTTGGAAATGCCCCCCCTCCTCCTCCTCTCCTCTTTCGCCGGCAGGGCAGCAATGAATCCTCAGTTTTCTCCTCTCCAGAAGGAGAATAAGGAGGAGTAATGCTCCTCCTCGCTGCTGGTTGCTAACGAACTCGGCTAGTTGTTGTTAGGGGCTCTGGAGCTATGCTAGCTTCGGGGCACTCATACATCGGTATTTAACCGCTAGCTAGCTCACCAGCCTCCAAACCAAACCCACCCCCCCCACCCCCGACAACCAAAACACCGCTGCATTAGCTCGGTTAAAGAAACGCTCTGGTGTGTCTTTTTAAAACAAAACCAAAAAAACACACACATGCAGATTTGAATCGAGGGGGTGGGTTTGTGTGTGTGTGTGTGTGTGGCTAAGCTAAGCTAGGCTAGGTGTACCTATGAAGGAGAGTGTCGGCCGTCGGCTAAAGGCTAAAGAGCCGCTACGAGGCGCCGGGGAAAAGATTTGTCCTCTCCAGGTTTTTTTTTTTTTTTGGGGGGGGTGGGAGGAGGTGCTGGAGAGGCGGGGATGGTTGTCTCTCCCCTGCCAGCGGCCTGGAAAACCGCACAAGCAAAAAAAAAAAAAAAAAAAGGCTAATAAAAAAAAAAAAATAACCCCAGTAACCGACCATACAACTTCTTGTTCTGTCTTAGCGTTATTTGCCCCACAGTTGGTTAATGTTTAATGCCCCCTCTTCTTCCTCCTCCTCCTCCTCCTCCTCTACCTCTACCCCCACCCCCGCCGCCACATTCATGATTGTAGGCTGGAAATGCATGCAGCATGGTGGAGGAAGCTCTGTGGGGGCAAACGTTGAACTTGGATCCAGTCATGATGCACCACCCCATGCTTTTATATTATCATTATAAATACCCCATAATATAATGAAAACATGGGGGGGGCTTTTAACTGGTGTGAAAAGCCTTTAGCTCTTGCAGGATCTTCCCACATTTAATCCATGTGTACGTTGTTGTTTTTTTTTTTTTTATGTCATCATTTATTTAGCAGAAAAACAAGAGAGGAAAAAAAAAAAAAAGTGGGTAAAATAAATTACATATCTGCTTTACTGTAAGAGAGATAATGCCTTCAAAAGTGGGTTACTCTCTGAATGCCTGAGGTTATTCAGGGCTATATTTCAGATGGTCGGGCCACACACACCCTCTGAAAGTGGTTCAGCCACTTTCTTGGAACTAGTCCCCATTCAACGTTGGCCCCCTTTGAAGTTTTAACTAGATGTGTGAGTGTTCATCCAGAGGAAGTCTTCTGCTACAAGTTAAAAGGATTACAGTGTAGCTGTACTTGTGTTGGTGTAAGATTTTTCTCTCTTATTGTTGCGCACAGCTTAAAAACTTGCAGCGTTTAGGGTTTTTTTGGTTTTCGAGAGGTTGTTATGTCGACTTTATGGTCATTTTGGAGGCTGTAGTTTGTGGTCCTGTTGTATTGATCTGCACTCAGACGGTGTGTCTAATATCTGAGCTGATATTAGGGCTGCATGATTAATCAAAATATTAGCGATATCACAATATGGACGAATTGCAGAAGCACACAGTATTATTATGAAGCGCTGTAGTTCTGGAGAGATCCCCCCGGCCTGTAAATCTTGTTCTCCAGATTTAAGAAGACGTGTTTGTTTTATACAGACGTCAACAAATGTCACATGTGTGTGTGATTTTAAACATTTTTTAAGTGAAAATTAAAGTTGTGGTGCAGAAACTACTGTGAATCATATCACAGTATCTGCCTAAATAATGACAATATGACGTTTTAACCATATAATGCAGCTCTGACTGACCTACACAGGAACATTATAACTTAAATGAAGATCTATTGCAGGGTTGTTGTATTGTCCTGCGTTCGTTTCAGATAATAAACCTCCAGTAGACTCCTGATCCAGATCCAGAAGTGAGTCCAGCTCAGTCTGTAATGTATTTGAGTTTATTTATTGCTCATTACAGGGTCATGACACAGCTGAACGACAGCTCGATTAGCTAAACTGCCTCATGCGTGGACGGCGGAGTAGAGTCATGACTTTGTGTGCAAAACACTGAGAGCTTTGCTTATTTATTTATTTTATTTAAAGTCATGAGATCTGCATGTAATGAACACTGCAGTTGGGATGTCATGCAGCTTTTATCATAATCCCCCCCCCCCCACACACACACACACACCCTCTCTCATTCACACACCCTATTTCCAATACTCACTTGTTTTCCTTGGGTGCTGCAGAGAGGCTATTTGTGACTCCCCCCACGGCTTTTTCCGGGATTGACCACTTTCTCCCGATACAAGTAACCATTTCATCTCTCTTTTTAGATGTGAGGTTGGGTGCGATGATGAAGGATTTTAACTGGAACCTGTAGCTTTTCCGTTAAAAAAAAAAACCAAAAACACACAGCTGCTGTCGCGATTGTTTTGTGCCCACCGAGGGGGGAAACTTTCTGACTTTTCATTTGAATCGTTCATTAGCTGGAAGAGATTAACATGGTCATGAGGGGTGTTATTTACATGTCAGCTGGGAGTTCATTGTTTTTTCGTGGGAGCCGGCGTGTCTGCCAAAATTTGTATTTCCTCTCATCCCCTCAATTGGAGCACTGTATAAGAAAGAGAGAGAGAGAGAGAGAGAAAGAGAGAGCTTGCATGCGTCATCTCAGTGTTGTCTGGTTTTCTATCCTCTGTGTGTTGCCTTTTTAACAGAGGATAGCTAAATAAATGTCACATTGTCTATTGGATACTGGTAGGATTGAATGATTTAAGAAACATATTTTCACCCAATGTGACACAGTTCAATTAATGTCCATATCCTACTATTGCCTCCTGGGCTCTTAATTTTCTGATTTGTTGTTAGAAATTATTGCCAGAAGTCATTTTTATTACACAAATGTTCTTTATATTTTCAGTTTCAGTTTGCTGCAGTTAAATTCATGTCCGTGTCCTGTCAACATAGTTTTATTTTCCTTCTCTGTATTTCATAGGACTGAAACAATTAGTCAATTTATTTTAGTCGTCTGTCAGAAAAATTGTTACATTTATCGGTTGAATCGTTTTGCTTGTAAAATGCCAAATGTTTGCTTTCTCCAGCTTCTAAAATGTTATTGTATTTGCTGCTTTTTTCTGTTTTCTATCATTTTGCAGTCAATATATTTGGGTGTTGGACTGTTGATCAGTCAAAACAAACAATTTATAGAAGCTCTGGGCATTTTTCACTTTACTATTAATAGTGAAAATGTTGCAGCCTAAGTATTTTATCCAAAAGCTGCAACGATCATTCACAATTATTTCAATTATTGATTAATCGTTTGCTGTATAAGATGTCAAACGGGTCAGATATAGTAATCCAGAGCCCACAACAGACCAACACTCAAATATTCAAAGCAGCAAATGCTTGCAAATTGACGAGCTGGAACCAATGAGCGTTTGGTACCTTTGCATCAGAATAGTTCCTGATTAATTATCTCTCAATCAGCTAATCAATTTATCAACTAATTGCCTCGCATTGCCTCCTGGGCTCTTAATTTTCTGATTATTTGGGGAAAAGGTGCATATTTCTTCCTGTGCTTTCAGTTTATTGTTCCCTTTGATTTCTAATAGAGTCGCTGTCATCCTCTTTGGCTCGTTATCATCCCGATTCTTTCTTTTTTTTTATGTTGTCCTTATCACATTCCTCTTTTTGCGGAGTCGCCCGGGAGGAGGTGGAGGGGTTTGTTGATGATTGGAGGGAGTCCACGGCTGCTCACTGTGGGTGTGGTGGAGTCTGGAGTTTAAGGGCATTACTGCCACAGAATGGCCGGGCAGAGTGCCAGGCAGGGGAGGTGTGTGTGTGTGTGTGTGTGTGTGTGTGTGTGTGTGAGAGAGAGAGAGAGAGAGAGAGTGAGTCTGAGAGTGCCAGACCAGCTCATCTCAATCCTGTCCCCTCTAATCCCCCCACTCAGTCCCAGCTCACGAGCTGCTCTCTGCCGGGGCCAAATCCCCACATTCTTCAGTCCTCCCCTGGACATAAAGTGCCTTTCTGTCCCCTCTCATTCTCCCCCCCTCTCCCCTCGCCTCACCCACCCCTCATTCCCTTCTGCACTCCATCTCCATAGCCTCTTCACTTGCTATGCCAATCACCACCATCACACCAGCGCAGTGTCATTTGCTTGTCCCGTTGCTGTCATTGTTCTTGGCAGAGAGAGGTAGCCCAGCAATGTGCCCCTCTTCTGGACAAACCTTTTGAGATCAGTCGGCTCGGGGCAGCTAATCACTCCCATTCCACGGGGAGCGTCCCGACACCAGTCCAGCTTTGTGTTTGTCCAGGCCAAGTGTTCAGCCTCCTCTCCTCTTGAGTATAAAGTCCACACACTCAAAATAGAGATTCTGAGGTTTTGTTCAAGGTGGAATCAGAAACCAATGAATAATGGCCCCCTTGGTTTAATCTCACTACTAGCTCCGCTTATGTTTATTTCTTGAGCAACATCAGTTTACAAGGTGTTTTAGCCACTATAATCCAGAACTGCAGGAGAATTTTCATTGTTAGTTTATCTGCAGATTGTTTTCAACATTAATCGTTTGCTCTATAAAACATCAGAACAGTGAAAGTGTTTCTTGGGGGTAGAAGTGATCTTGTTTTGTCTTGTTTTGTCTGACCAACAGTGCAAAAACCCCAAAGGTATTCAATTTGTGATGAAAAACACAACAAATTCTCAGATGTAAGAAGGTGGAAACATCCAGTGTTTCATTCTTCTTCCTTTTAAATTTTAAAAATAAAATGTGTGACAACACAGCATTGTGATGAAGTAGTGATGAGGAGATGTCCTGGCCTACAACTCTTGTTCTCTAGATGTAAGAAAACACATTTGTTTGGTACAAATTTCTTTCTTTTTCAGTGAAAATGAAACTTGTAATGCAAAAATTATCATTCCCTTTAATCGGGAATTACGTTACAATTGTTATCAGTCAAATCTATCGATCTAGACCACTCTGTAGCTCTACCATAGCAGTAGTACCTATTATTTTCATTATCTGCCCTTTCTTTTATCATCATATCATTCAAACCTTGTCAGAAAATAACATCCATCACAGGCTGAGATGTCTTGCTTTGTCAGACCAACTGTCCAAAATCAAAGATATGCAATTTATAATTATAGAAGTTTAAGAAAACCATCAAATATTCACATTTGGAACCAGAACAGAGGCTGTAGCTGGTGACGTTTTCGGCTTTTAAAAAAATATTTAAACTCTGAAATCCTTGTTGTATTTCTTGCTGCTGTATTATCTGTGCACCTGTGAAGCACCCATTGAAAGGTGCTATAGATATAAAATGTACCTCCTTCATAAACAATCAATTATCTTATCTTATGTCCATTAACTAATTGATTAATCCTTTAATTGATTCAGCTGAACATAACAGTAACAAAACGAGTATTTGTATTTGTTGTATTAATATTTAGTTTTTTATGTTACAAGCAAGGAAGTCATGTAGGTTTAAACCTACTTATATTCAGGTTAACCATATTTTTATTTTTAGAGGTTTTTCTTTCCTCTTTTTTTTTTTAGTCAATCACACATTTCCTATATTAATTCTTAGAAAACATCATAATATGTAATATCTGATGCAAGAGACCGATGACAAGAAAAGTGTCACGTTTAAATGCTTTTTCAATTTCTCCTGTGAAGGAACAGGCAGAGGAATCCAGATAATATTTAATCGAGCTGAAACTATTTTGACTTGAAATATTAGTCAATTTACTGGTTTCTGCTTTTAAATTGTGAGAATATGCTGCTTTGTTTTATCGTATGTGATAGTAAACTGAATATCTTTGGTTTATGGACCAGCTGTTATACAAAATGAGTGACGTGAAGATGTTACCTTGGGCTTAAGGAAACTGTGATGGCAGAGCAAAGAATTGAGATTTTTCTGTATTTTTTTCTGGCATTTTATAGACCAAACAATCGGTTTATCCAGAAAAAACATCTGCAGATTAATAAGTAATTACATATTATGTTGTAGGAGTGTTTGGAGGAGTTGTCCAAGTTGAGGATCTGAGGATAGAGGGAGTCGTTGGCTGTACAGATTGTGTTTGGGCTATATAAATAAAACTAATTCTTAGTTGTTTTATTGTAGACAAGGAAACGTGTAGAATAAACCCACCTGAATGCAGATTAAGCATCTTTTTGTCTTTCGTTTGTGGCATAAAAGCTTAGAATAAATCATCGTGCTTTGACATCTCATGCAGGTTCACACAGTAACTGCATCCACCTGCAGTTTAAAGACGAAAAGACGGAAGAAGAAAAAAATCTCAAGGCATTTATTTGACCTTCTCTGCTCACCACAATATGTACAAAGTGTAGATAACGGCAGACGAGTGTTTCCATTTCTTGAGCTTCTTCTCATTCTGCCTTTGTGCTTCACATTTGACCTATTGTTGTGTATCTGCAGTCCTTGTGTGGTAATATCTGGTATTTAAACTCTTTTTGTTTCTATCTGCCCCCCTTCAGTGCACAGTGCAGGTGAAACTGGAGTTGGGCCACAGAGCCCAGCTAAGGAAGAAAGTGACATCGGAAGGCTTCACCCACGACTGGATGGTGTTTGTCCGAGGGCCAGAGACCGGCGACATCCAGCACTTTGTAGAGAAGGTTGTCTTCCGCCTGCACGAGAGCTTCCCCAAACCCAAGAGAGGTACGATGGAGAGATAACAATATTTGAACACATTCTCACTCCAGGGTAATTAAGTGCCACATAAAAGACATAAAAGGGTAATAAATACAGCAAAATATGGCTTTTGCTGTGGAGGAATTTCACCTGCAGTGATTTAGTGGCTCAACAGTGCTGTGTGCGGTACGACCACCATTTTTGATGTTTTTGCTAAATACCTTCTAAGGGGTACAACAGGAAAATATGTCATCTCATTATATGCTTGTACTGATCACAGGTGCTCTACCTCTTCCTGGGCCTGTAACCCTGTTAACTGGCAACTTTCAGATGAATAAAGTAAAGCAGCAGAGTTATTATAGTTTTGTATTTTTCATTAGTTTTTCTTTTTATTTGGTTTTAAATTTTAGTTTTCAGTTAACATTAAGCTGTTTCTGATACTACTGTAATCTACTGTTGTAATCCTGGGCTGTGATTTGAGGGAGTAGCAGTGGGATTTAGGCAGGACTTAGGCTGAAGAGACTCGACACAGGAGATCAGCTCTCTTTTTTTATCTTATTGAACAATGAACATGGCGTTTGTTGCCATCCTCTGCGGTTAACTTGCTAGTGTGACAGCTCTACAGCGAAACACCTAGGGACAGAAACAAATTCTACATAAGTTAAAATGATGAAAACAGAAATAAATAGAAGAGAGTGCTGAATCAAAACATGAAGGTGGTCTTAAGTGGTTACTTATTATCACTATTCAGCTTGTAAATTTATTAGATGTGTAACTGATTTGTGCTTGTGATCTGTTGTTGTGACATATAATGCTGATTTTAATTATAATTTATTAGTAAATAATTAATTTGATGTTCATCACATTTAATTTATAGACGTATATAGTTTGCTCAGACTGTAATTAGTTGTAATTAGTTCCTGATCTCATTTTGTGACTTTAAGTATTATTAGTTTCTTGAAGTTTATTTAGTTAATGGAATAGTTATTTCAAAATGTAATTCTATTTATAAGAGTTATATTATTATATTTTGGTTTGAATCTTTCAGGGTAGCATATAAGGATTTACAAACTACAACCCTGTGTTGTGAATTGACAATTATTCAATAATTGTGTCTTTGTCTGTCTGCAGTATGCAAGGAGCCTCCGTACAAAGTGGAGGAGTCGGGCTACGCAGGCTTCCTCATGCCTATTGAAGTTTACTTCAAGAACAAGGTGAGATGAACTGGACAATGATAGTAAACTGTAGGTTGTTCTCTGTGTCGTTGCTGTATTTATCTGTGGGGGAAGATCAAATATAGGTTTTTAGGAAACGTTCTTTAGGCTTCAATATAGTTTGTAAACCCTTTTTTACATGTTGTGGGTGTTTTAAATTATGAAATCTTTACAGTTAATGTGGATATAGTGAACTGCACTGGAATATTCACAGAATAAAGCAGCATAAACTTCCTTTACATGCACACAAAAAATGTGGGTTACTGTGGAAAAAACAGGTTTTTCCAGCAGAAATCTACCCGCGTTAACCAGGTTTAATTCCTTAACTTGGCAAAAGAAACTGGGTGTTCCTTTTACATGATTCTTCAGAAATCAGGTTATTGCCCAAAGCCAAGAATAATCAGATTACTTAATGCACATATATTGTTTAAGTGCATGCAGTGATGGTTTGAACAGTCAGTCTAGTAACACTCACTCCAATAAGTCAGATAGTAGTTATTATATGTCCAGTCAACCCATCAGAAGGCACTGTTGTGTTAGTAAAACATTACTTTTATAAGGAGCTATTTCTCTCTGTAAGTGATAAAAATAAATAAAAACGAGCACTCACTATTACACTGGCACCTTTAAGTCTCCATCAGCCTTTTAAATAAACGATGAAAAGACAGAAAGAACCACTTTACTCTCATTACAAGATCAGGACGACGCTTAAGAGGTCTGTACACATTAGTGTAGCAGCATCTCCGGCAGTTCTTTATAATATTAAACCTCTGGACTGCACCCAAAAATGTTACTTCCTCCTCTCATGTGCAATTAACTTGTACACAGTAGACAAATCTGTCAAGAAGATGAAGAAAATATTTAAAGGCAAGCAGGAGGAGTGTAAATATCAGCAGCCATTAATCCTTCTGCACCTACAAGAAGACATTGTTGTTTATAAAATCTCTCAAGAAATGTCTTAATGCCTTTTCCTTGGCTTTAATCGTCCACTTCTCTACAGCTTCTCTCAGGAATGTTAGTTGTTTCTTATCAGTGTTGCCGGCTCCCGCTCTGTCTGTCTCTCTTATTGATTTCCAGGGTGGTAGTTCATTCATTCAAGCTTTTATCTTTTGTTGTGAAATAATGTCGGTATTGAGAGGCGACAGTTTGTGGGCCAGCGGTGCAGAAAGACAAACACAAATTAGTTTGTGTCACACCGGGGCTGTTACAGGAGGGCTAAAACCATTGTTGTCCCTTTTGTCTTCCTTCAGGAGGAGCCAAAAAAGGTGTGTTTCAACTACGACCTATTCCTTAACTTGGAGGGCAACCCACCAGTCAACCACCTGCGCTGTGAGAAGCTCACCTTCAACAACCCCACCAAAGAATTCAGGAGAAAGCTGATCAAAGCTGGAGGGGTGAGGCTGCCTGACACACTGGATGGTTGCCAGCTTGACTGGACTCAGAGCTAAATGAGTATTATATAGTGAAAAGCAGATACTATAGTCAACTATATTGCTGTAATGGCAGCTAACACGTGATGTATTTGACCATGAATTCTCATATAGAGTTGCAAAGTGGGAAGAGCTGCTTGTGTTTATCTCCCATTTCAAATATTTGTCGTCAATGCAGGATTTCTGCAGGTCTTAAAGTCACTGATTTAATTTACCTCAAGAAAGGCCTTAAGTGTCGTCCACACCAAGAACAATAACTATAACAATTAACTTACAGTTTTTATTTAATTATAACAACCTATAAATATGGTGGCGAACAATACCACTGGGATCACTTTTAGAGGGATTTGATGAACAATATTGTGGTATACAACTTATTAACATAATATTAGGCTGTAAATTACAAAGTAACTCTCTAGTCTTTAATGACTCTCTTTTTTTACCAAAGTATGAATAAAACTTCTCTTCAAAGGACGACAACTCCTAACAGAGTGTTGGGTTTTCCTAACGTCTGTTGTCTTTGAAGAACTTCTGGTTTCCTTTTTGTTTCTCTGTGCAACATACAGCAGTAACAGGTCATCAATATACATTTTCCTATTAAGCTGCCGACAAAGCTAGAGTGTGCGGCGTGCAGGGACCACTGTTTACACAACGTTATTGCTCACATTGTTACAGTTATTGTTCTTGGTGTGGACGGCCTTTAGAAGGTGTGTATATATCTTGTCTGCCGTAGGCCGTAATGTTAGTTGTAAAATGTTTTTGTATCTGATTGTGATCCGTTGGGAGATATTGAATATTATACACATACAGCGGTAACACTAAAAGTGGGATTGTTGCGACACAGGATTGTGCCTGTCACTACTGCTGGCTACAGTATCAAGGACGATCATTGTCTCATAATTGGGAACTGTCAATTTCAACAACTAGAAATGAATTTAAATGTATCATTTTAAATTGAATTAATCCATCTTTCCATTTATGATTCTTATGCATGTCCAGATCTGGTTAATTAAATTGATTATATCATTAGAAAGTGTTATTACATACTGCTGTGTATAAGGTGATTTGTGGTATTAAAATCAGTTGACTTTAATTTGGGTCCTGCAGAAACCCTACTTCACATAGAAAACATGGAATAATGTAACAATCACATAGGTTTATGGTTGTATTTCATCTTTGTTTTAAATGGAATCGTGTTTTATGTTTGGCAAACAGCTCAAAACACTACGATACCCATGAAACTCAACCTCTGTTGCCTTTTATACATTCAATTTGAGAACAAAATATGTTGAATGACTGAATTTATCCAAAAATGATCCAGTGAATTGAGATCCTCATTTCAAACTGAAACGTTTTTAATAACTGAGTACAAGTCGGGTTTCGCAACAGCATAATCTTTGGTTTCACTCACCGTTTGTAGCACTTTTGCAAAATATTTGGTGATTGTATCTTTCCTGAAATCCACCGTGGGAATCGTACTTAACTTCTCCCGCCAAGTTTTTATGTACACAGGCTTCAACCTTCAGTCTTTTCTGACTCAGTTGTTCATGTTTTGTGCTGATGATGAGTTTAATGATGATTCAAGTCATGAAAATCCCCCAACTATGAGTCATGTAACATTGTCGGAGTGTGACTTTTGCGCCTGGAACGAGACGGCACATAAAATATCTCTTTCCTCTATAAAAGACTGATTGATTTGAGAATGAGAAACTTAATAACTCTTGTCTCTATAATTTCAGGTATTAGTGGTTCCAGAGGGGGCTGAAGCTGTGTCGAGGCCCAGTCCAGACTACCCAATGCTCCCCACCATCCCCCTCTCTGCCTTCTCAGACCCCAAGAAGACCAAGACCTCTCATGTGTCAAAGGTTGGTTAACTTGCCAATGAAAAATACCATCCTAGTTATCTCACCCGAACTGTCTTGGCTTGCTTGTCCATTTTGAAGTATTTAACTGGAAAGTGTCACAGCTCTATTGATATTTCCAGTTCATTTTTATTGACGTTTTTTTGCCTTGCCCTTAACAAAATCATTAAATCAGTCTTCAGAACAGGATGACTCAGGCTTCTAATCATTGTCAGCTGTTTTTTGAGCATCTGTATGCAGAAGTACTTATCTGCCAGGAGAGGGGACGTATCAGGACAACACAGGAAACTGATGCCGTTATATTTTCCATTGTTGCCACTGTTTTGGTATCAACCTTTTTGAAAGACCAGTACAGTTGTAAGGCCTCCGTGCTTGACTCACATGTAATCGCCGGTTTGTCATTTGTAGCAATATTTAGAGCTGTATAAAGTTTGTTTCTGTGTGGATAAAAGTCTGTTATTCTACAGATTCTGGGTTATTTACAAAACGCCAGGACAAACATTTGTGACTAACTCCATGTTGTGCTAATGACAAATGCTTATATATCTATCTGTAAACCTTCCCCTTCATTTTAACATAGAAAAACATGTTGCTTCAGTCCACATTATTACTGTGTCATGAGTGGGCGTGTGTCGAGGCAGATAGAGGACTTTGTTTCATCCAGCTGTGTCCATCTGCTGACATGGAAAAAGTCGAGCCTCCTCTGAAGACGCACATGGCCATTCTCCTTTTTTATTCACTGTGAATCTGTGACTGAATGTAGTAAAGGCTTCTATGTATATGGAACAACCTGTACAAAACCTATAAAACCGATAAGTGGATGAACAGTGTGGAAAAACCATTCTCTACTTGTATCCCTGCGTCGGAGAGCTTTGTTAAAAGCCAATCCTGTGGATGTGGTTACCGTACTAGGGCCTGAGTTTCCTAGTCGACTAGTGGTTGCACGTTTACGATATTAATTGAATTATTTAAATACTACGTATCTATATTTTATTAGCCGCCTGTTACACAGAAAAAGCAATAATGATTCTGAGTCGGAGCAACCAGTGAGGAGACTGAACGTTTAGTTCATTAATTTAAACGCAGTATAACATCAGGTCACGCTGTTCAAAACAGAGAAATAAATAACTTCCGGCTTCACAAAAACAAATCCTTGCAGACCGATCGATGCGATGGATGATTTATAACCGTAACAGTAACTTCTAAATTAACTCGCTACAAACCCTCTCCTCGTCTGGTGCTCAGTCTCTTATGCTTTTGGTGTAAACAAACCTCTCCTTGTCCTTCCAGCTCTCAGTCTGGGTTACAGTCAGCTAATAGGACGGCTAACTAGTACTGTGTTACAAGATAAAAGGTCTGTGTTGATACAATCGTCCCTGGTAACAAGGCGCAGGTCTCAACTGGAGTTTGACTTGGTTAATTGTTTTCTGCGACTATCTGACTGCTGCACTCAACGTTATTCTATAAATGTATGTGTTTATTTAAGGAACACACATTCACGTCCCTTTTTCATCTGGCGTTACCACCTGGTCAAAATACCTGCAAACTAATGACATTTCCATCTGCCTCAACTGTACGTTAGTGCTAATTAGCAAATGTTACCATTCTAACACACAAAACTAACTCAATTAACATTATACCTGCTAAACATTAGGAACATCGCTGTTGAAAGCATGTTAGCATGCAGACTTTAGCTTTTAGCTCCAGCGAGTACAGCCTCACAGAGTTGCCAGCATGCCTGCAGACTCTTAGTTTTGTTATTGCATAGAGACGTTTTTCTGTTTACAATTTCTTTTTTGACTAATTACTGAAAAATTTGTTATTTTGGCCCAAGTTCACACTGACCCAAGTGCTTAATTTCACATCTGGTTCACAGTAAATAATGTTACTACAAGCACAGACTAGATTGGCCAGACACAGACATGGTCTTTTGGCTGAGGGCTGTAAGAGGACACTGTGAATGAATTGTTGTTGCTTGCTCTCTCAGGAACCTAGCAAAGAAGGAAGTGGTGGCAGCAGTAAAGGACCCAAACCACACAAGCTGACCAAGGAGCACCGTGAACGGCCTCGAAAAGACTCTGAGAGCAAAGCCACGTCGAAAGGAGACAACGACAGAGACGGAAGCAGCAAGAGTGGCCGCGATGCTTCCTCCTCCTCATCCTCATCTTCAAAAAAGCCGTCAGAGATCAAAGTCAAAGATGAAGTAAAGGTCCTACCCAAGGCTGCTTTCAAGGAGCCTAAACTCACCCTGAAGGAGTCAAAGATGGAGGGTATGTCCCCTAAAGGAGGGGGGGCTGGGAGCGGAGGGGGTGGTGGGGGAGGAGGCGGGGGACCGCCTGCAGAGTCCAAAGCCCCTGGGAAACGACCTTCCAACGTTGAGTCCCCCAAACCTAGCACTAAGAAGCAGAAGAAGGGCAGCTCGGAGGGGCCGAAGGCGCCGACCGCCGGTGCCTTCGCAGGAACTTCTCCCCGTGTCTCCTCCTCGTCCGCGGCCAGCCAGCCCTACGCAGAAAAGAAACCTCCCAAGGAAAAAGGTCGCTGGCCAAAAGGGAAAAATGACACACAGGAGCCGAAGGAGCCCAAGAAACTTCCAGAGTCGGAAGAGTCGAATTCGGAAGATGAAGCGTCGTCAAAGTCAGAGGTACGTTGGTGTCAGAGGAGCTGTGAAGATTTTCATTATTATGATCTTTACGTTTCTACAACTAACCATTATTTCTATTACTCAATCTGCTGATTATGTTCTCGTTTTATTGATCTTTAAAAATGTCAGAATAAGTTAGACTTTCCTAAAGCCCAATTTAACACCTTCAGTGTCTCGTTTTGTTTGACCAACTGTCCATAAAACAATATTTACTTTATTATCTTTATTATCACATAAGACGAAGAAAAGCAGCAAAGCCTCACAAATGAGAAACGCTTGGTATTTTTGTTTGAAAGATTATTTAATTCATTATCAAAATATTTGCTTTCAAAGTCTCTGTCAGCTGATTAATCAATTAATCGACTGAATCATTTCAGCTCCATTTTCATGCTGCACCTGCTTATCTGTAGTTTTACCCATTTGTAACACAGCTGCATTTATAGAGAAACATTAACTTTTATTTTGTCTCCTACAGCAGTCGGCTCCTTCAAGTGCTTCCAACTCCAGTTCGAGCTCTGACTCAAGTTCAGATTCAGACTTTGAGCCTGGACAGAAACAAGGGCAAGGTACGTTTCTTTTAATGTAACAATATAACATGTAATCTGAACATGTTAAAAGTTTTCTAGAGTTATAGGGTTGAGGTCAGTAGTATTATAGCTGGTGTGACCTTGTCCTCCTCTCCCAGGCCCCCTTCGATCCATGGTGGAGGAGATCCAGTCAGAAGAGTCGGATGATGACGACAGCAGCTCAGAGGAGGAGACGCCCATCAAGACAAACCCCCCCAATCGCGACTCTCGGTCAGTATTTTGCTTTACATCTTTGGCCATCAATCACAAATGGATTGCACTGCGAGACACATTCACAGATGAAATATGTAATGCTACTGCTAAAACACTCTTTGCTTTACTCACTTTGCAAGTTGCACTTTTCCACGCTCTCACGTTTTGAGTTTTTTTCTGCATAGAAGTGCCAGCGTTATGCCGAGTTCACGCTACATGGTTTTAGCCTTAGTTTGCCAGTCACTGACAGTTTTGGGAGACAACTGCTCCCAGATCGAAGCTCACCTCCATGAAGTCGGTTGCTATATGTGAACCATTCAAAGACACTGATGACGGAAAAATATCTATATAATATGTAGTCATGTTGGATGCAACAAGCTACAGGACAGGAAGCAGAGAACCGGGTTGTTGCTGTAACATAAATCATCAAATACTGTCACACACACACTAGACGGGGGAATTTAAAGTGTTATGAGTCGGTGTATCTGATCCACCAACCAGCACTTATTTTTATGTTAAGCAGTCGACTCCCACTGAAAGAGCACAGCTACACTGGAGGCTGAGTGAGTTGAGGCAGCAAAATGTAAAGTTTGTACAGAATACAGTTTATCTTTACGGATTATATTGATGCCTAATTGACAAGACTATCGACAAATGATGCACTTTAGCTTGTGTTTCTAGAGTTGTGTGTTTTTACGGACATGTAAGGAATTGGTAAAATGTAAAATTCCTTAAAGGGAGTTTGGTGCAGGGAGCTTTTAGTTTAATTCACACTGCTAATATGTATATTTATTTTAATGTTTTGTCACCATTACAGACATTATTAAGGTTGTCTGATGTTGACTGCTGTTAGTTATTAGATTAATGCTTTAATAATGTGTGTTTGATTACTGACGCTGGCTGATCAGGTTCATTATCAGCTTATTGTACTCTGTTTCTAACGGCAGTATGCTCTAAATGTTTGCGCCTTTGTGCGTGTTTTTTAACTACTTAACCAGGGTTGTTTTGCTTTATTCATGTGCTACAAACATGAGAGTGAGGCAGATGGATGATCTGAGTCTTCAGCCAAGTTTCCCTCCAAATTAAAGGCACATTTTAAATTAATTTCCACTACTTTTTATGCAAACTTTAAGAGCACATCGCGTAAACAGCCGGTGGCTTCAATTCTCCAGTCGGGTGCCGTTAACCATTGCAGAAGAGGAAAGCGCCACAAGATGACATAATTAAGAGACTCAGTCAAACCTCAAGCGATTTGAAAACGATGTGGGGAGAAAAATGATGAAAATGTGGCATTTATGTTTGTTGTTTTCATTTGAGCTGATGTTTCATGTCTCTTCAGGGGAAATTTAAGTCACATGCATCACGATTTATAATCCGTCTGTTTCCATTGCGCTTTTCTTTTGCTTTTATCAATGAAATCAATCATTGGCATCCTATCAGATTTTATTAGCGTCATCTCGTACAGTGTGACATGTAGTGAACTTTTATTCTTTTTTTTTTTTTAGGTTCCTTTACTTTCTGTCCCGACCTCCTCTCCAGTTTTGTTTCTCTTCTAAATATTGTACACTTCTTTTGGTTTTCACCTTTTTAATCTGTTGCTTGTTTCACCAAATTATTACAGGCAATTTCAACCCGGTGACCAAAAAGAGCTAAAGTTGACTGTTATATAATGTAGCCTATGTGTTAAATTATTGAATATATTGGAAAATGTTTAACTTAAATGTACTTAAATAAGAGTTTTTGTTAAAGAAAGCAGCCATCTGAGTACCTTTGCAGAGTCATATAAAAACTGTCTATTTTCATTCCAACTCAAATATTCACTATATCAGCCGCCATATCTATCTCTAAAACTGGTATCAGATGTTGGTCTGCTTCACTGTCAGTTTCATATCAGCAGCAGATAATAATTACAAATATAATGCTAATCAGTATGTCAGTCTGTGTGTGATTGACCCCTGACCTTGCCCTGTCCCCCCCCCCGGTCAGACTCAGCCTGGACAGCGAGAGTGACAGCAGTGACGGCTCGCACAGCCCCAGTCGAGACCCTGCCCCGCCCCCGCAGAAACACAACTCCTCCAATAACAAAGTGAGTCACACAGACCTCATTTTACTGCCTGCTCTCATTGATGATTTGACTAGAAAATAAACCAGTTCTGCTGCTGTAGACCAGTCTGAGTCAGAGTGGGACTATTTATTCTTAACGATGTTAGAGTTTTTCTTCTTCTTCAGTGTTCAGCTGTCAACGTAATCCTTGGACAACATGAACAGGAATTTCCTAAAGCGTTATGTTGTGTATTTAGTGAGTAAAAATTAACTTAAAGACATTTGTTTTGTGTGTTTGAGGAACCACTGTATGACTAAAAACTGTCAAAACAATATTTAATAAACAGTCTTCAGGCATTAGTTTGGACAGAGATGACTCATTTTGGATTGTAGTATGTGCTGTATTTTTAATGTCTTGGTTCCTACTCAACGCAAAATAGCATAAAGACATGGAAACCACAGTGTTTCAGGGCTGCACCAGGCTTACACTTTTCACATTTCAGCCATATTAACTGTCATCAGTGTCCCAGATAGTCTCATGGTCTCACATCACTGCCTGTACCTCCCTCTAAATGATGTCTCTCCTCCTTTCCCTCTCTCTTCCCCCCTCTCTTCTCTGATCTGTTGTGTTGCAGGTTTCAGGCAGAAAGAGTCCAGATTCCTCGTTTCGCTCAGAGAAGGTGTTGAAGAAGGGATACGACAAGGTAGGAAGGGTAAATCAAACTTTTTATGCTTTCACTTTTCACACACATACACACAATGTTCTGTTTTTTTTTTTTTTGTGTCAATATTCAGTGAGTGCATTGATGAATTCAGGATGTACTGACTGGTGAATTGCTCCAGATGTGCAGACAGACTCTGGCCTATGAACCCTTTAAAAAAAAAAAAAAATCTTTCTTCTTTGTAACGAGATGATTCATGTAGCGATAAAACTGTGGTGAAGAGATCCTAGATCAGCCGTTCACGTTAAAACTTATGCTCCGTTTCATGGATTCTGTTAAGACGTGAGGAAAAAGGTTTATTCCGACACTTAAACTCAAAGGAAGAGGTCAACTTCAGGATGTAGTTTTATAAAGAATCCAAAGTTTAACCCTTCACACTAAAGTGAAAGCTGTCAACGGTATGTTTTGGTGTCAGTCAAGTAGTGCTCGGCAGTCAAATGGTATATCATAGTTATTTTTTGCATGCCTGACCCTTTATATGGGATTTTACTGTATTATTCTGCTATCAGGAGCTTATAGAATATAAAAACATTATCATACTGAAGGCTTTGATTGATTACCACAAAATGATAAACAATATATGCAGGAATCAGAATGTAAACAGTTTTTATTGTGCAAACTGCAATGTAGTTAAAACAAAACAACTTAAACAGTGCAATGTATCTATAATACTATAATCTGACATGAAATACTCAAAGTATTTAAGTATTTCAAAGAGATATTTCTAGATAAATTAGTTTACAGCGGTTGTTTCAGCTATGCAACCGTAAGAGGTATTAAAACCCAGTATATCACCCAGCACTACAGTGAAGTCAGGTTTATTTATAAGACCCCAAATCCCTCCGTCTGGACAACATACTGTGATAGTTTGACTTCTCACAGAGTGCCAGTCAGGTCTCTCTCCTGGCGATTAGGATTTCTTCTAAGACTGTTTGGTGTTGTGATTATTTGTAGTCTAGTTAGGGCATGCAATGGGTCACACGGATATCCCAGTTTAGGAACACCCCCCACTAGAGTACAAGGCACGGCCTGTTGCGAGTGTAAGCTGAGAATGTTTAATGACAGATATTTAACTTTTTCCTACGTTTTAAAGAAAACTTCAATTCAAAAGTAACTTTTTTTTTTTTTTGCTTTTCTTGATTTAAGACACTCCTGATTTTATCTTTAATACTGTACTGACCGTGTTCACTGTCCCCTTTGCAGGCCTACACAGAAGAATTAGTGGACCTCCATCGTAGACTGATGGCTTTAAGAGAGCGTAACGTACTACAGCAGGTAAGTGTTCATGAGTTTCTCCATTAATAATCTGATCTGAGGGACATTTAAATATTTTCTCTAAATCAGTCACGAAGATATTTGAACATACTCTGTTTTTTCCTTTTTCAGTCCGCACCATCAGACCTTAAGCAAACTGTCACTAATGCTGAATACAGTAGCGAGGCTCATTGTCTCATAACAAGAAAACATTAATTTTTAAAGGTTTAATACAGTGGTTCCCAAATGGTGTGCAGAGGCAAACTGGTGTGTTGTGAGGGAAGTCCAGGTGTGCTGTACAACATGCAATATGTTTAATTAATTTACTATTATGGCTGCACAATTAATCAAAATATTGTTATTAAGTCGCCATATGGCGTATATGTATGTAGTGCTGCAGAGATCTTGTTCTCCAGATGTGGTACAGACCACAACAAATATCACATCATTATAATTTTATTATTTAATTCAGTGAAAATCAAAATTGTGACACAAATGATCATTCCCACTGATCATGAATCCTATCGCAGTCACAATATCTGTCCAAATAATTGAGAAAAAGTTATTTTTTGTTACCGTATTGTGCAGCCCTGTTTACTATATCAGTACTTTCTAAGCACTTTGTAGTTCCACTGCCTCGTTTTAATGTTGTGATCTGTCAGGTATAAAGTAGTGTTTTGCTGCTTTGATGCAATTCTTGCAATAATTTTCTTAAACTTTTTATGAGTGTGTCCATGAGTTTTGCACATATATATGAATACAGGTGAGCATTAGGAACAAAAAGTTTGAAAACCGCTGTCCAGGTCCAAGTCACATTAATCAAATTAAATTATATCCTTATGAATTATTGTGATAGGCTGATGGAAACTGATGTAAAAATGTGATATTATAACAATATATAACTCTAAAGCATATTGTTGCCACTGGTTTTCTATCATACTTTCATACTTTGGCAGGTGTGATCATAAAACAGGTACTACATTGTATTATATATGGTATTAAGAATTCAACTTGCTGAACCATGTAAGCATCTTATTTTATATATTGTGTGTGTGTGTGTGTGTGTGTGTGTGTGTGTGTGTGTGTGTGTGTGTGTGTGTGTGTGTGTGTGTGTGTGTGTGTGTGTGTGTGTGTGTGTGTATATATATATATATATATATATATATTTTATTTTTTTAAGGAATAATGTGACAAATATGGTAAATAAATAAATGATGGTAATCGATCGCTCTTCTCTGTCAGATTGTCAACCTGATCGAGGAGACGGGCCACTTCAACGTGACCAACACCACCTTTGACTTTGACCTCTTTTCACTGGACGAGTCCACCGTCCGCAAACTACAGAGCTACCTGGAGGCAACGGCCACGTGACAGGAAGTGGAAACTGGCGTGTGGATGGCAGCGGCGGTGGAGGTAGACTTGCCACCACGTCTCCTCTTTTGAAGGAGGGGACGAGCAGCCCCCATCTGTCGCAGCTGTCTCACAGGCCTGACTGAACCATCGAACAACTACCACACAAACAGAAACACACGAACAAACACAAGCACACATGAAGACACACCACGTTCAGGTGACGCTGGGGAGGAAACTGAAGGAGGAGGAAGAGGAGGAGAAGGAGGTGGGAGAGCAACGGAGTAGCTGAACTCCGTCTACAGTCAGGATTTTCACTACACATCTCTTTTTTTTTTTTTTTTTTTGAGTCTGTGCAGAGCTGTGGAATGCACCCCACACCCCCTCCTTCACCCTCCTGCACTCATATTGCTCCCGCCTTTGCAAAGCCAATACTTCCCCTCCTCCTCCTCCAACTCCTCCTCCTCCTTCACACGCACACTCCTTACTCGGCAGAACACTCCAGTTCCCTTCCCCCTGCTGTCAGCTGGAGCTCATTTCTCTCCCGACATACTCTTGAGTCGTGTGTGTGAGTGTGTGTGGACTGTGTGTGTGCGTGCGTGTGTGCGAGCGCTGTTGAGGTTTAAGAGGAGATGTTGTCTTTGTGGTTACTGACTTCTCTTTGTTCGTGAAGCTCGAGCACAAACAACAGCCGGTTTCACTCCTTCCTTGCGCACACACACAGCAAACAAATACAGATTCAGGTAATACTTCACTTCAAACCCTCACGTTTTAGCATCGTTAAGCAGTATATAAACAATGAATGAATGGTTTATAACTCACTATAATGTAGTTGTAAGCAGATATGTGGGTTTTTTTTTTTATGCATTTGCCAACTATAGCTCCTCCTGTGGGCATGCATAAGTGGAAGCTGGTGTATAAACATAACAAAATAGTAAAACACTGTTGAAATAATATAAAATATGTCTTTACAGGAGCAGTTATTGTTGACAAACACTTAGAAAAATGTCCATAAATCTGCGTGCAACTTATATTATAAATGCTAAATAAGGTGGGGGGAGTAAAGTAAAGTTGTACCCAGATTAATGCACGTTTGTCTCCCAGGTCCTTACACTCAACACTGTACATGAAGACACTGAGACGTGTGCTGTGTGTGTGTGTCTGTGTGTGTGTAAGAGTGAGTGTGTGAGAGAGACTGTTCTGGATGAGGTTTCTCTGTTGTCTGAACATTTGAAAACTTATGTTCTGTTGAGTTTCCCCTCTACTTCCTCGCACTGAAAGCTGAGCCTTGACCTCCTACCAACAGCTCCTTTTCCCACTGAAGCCCCCTCACTCCATCCCTCCTCTCCACCCTCCTCCTCTCCTCCTCTTCCTCCTCCCTTATTCCCATATTGGCGTGCATGAAAGGGCTCGACTGCTCGCGGCCAGAGCAGTGGAGGATCACTCCTGAATTGCCTTCTAAGTGGTGGGTAGGGTTAGGGTGGGGTGGGGGTTAAAAAAAAAAAAAAAAAAAAAAAGCCGTGAAAAAGTAGCCATACTTGTCTCCCAGAATCCAAAAATAAGGACAAAAAAAAACAAAAAATAGGGGCCACGCTTTTTTACATTTTATTTTTCTACAAGTGCATTTTGTGTATTTATTCCCAGATTGCGGTTAAGAAGATAACCTGTGAGCTATGAATGTATATCGCTTTTACTTTTCTACGGCTAGCAACAGCCCCACTCTAGTGCCTTTTTCTGCGACTTGCAGTGTGAAAGGGGGAAGGGGGGCGTGGTGGTGGTGGTGGTGGTGTGCACTCTGTTAGCCATGGTCACACAGATTGAAACCCACCCCGAAACCCCCCCCACCCCCACCCCCAAATACCCCCCCCTTTGGGGAAACAAGTGTTAATAGGGATGCCTGAATATCCAGTATTGTCTTAACGGCTTCCATCCCTGCTACTCCCTTTTTTTCCAGTATCTTTGTAGGCTGTCATTGACGTCAGTGACCTTTCTGTTCATCGAGCCCTCTAGAAAAAGACCACTGCTTCGTTCCACCGATGGTGGTCGTGTTTTTTATGTTCTCGCTTTTCTGAGATTAGGTTCAGTGTGTTTTTTTTTTTTTTTTTTTTTTTTTAAAGAGGAAGCGTCAGGTGACTGTGGTAGTTACTCACATTAATTAGCTCTAGTAGCTTCAGCTGTGATGTGTATTTTGTGAAGGCGGTTTGTTGAACAGCGTTGGCGTTCCCTCTTTCAAAGGTGGTTTGAAGTATTTGAACTAACGGTGGAGCGTTTGATACCAAGTTACCAGGCACTTGAAGAGCGTCATCAATAAGGGCATGTAGACAGAAAAATAAGCTAAACAAAACGCTCCTTGTGTTTTTCTTTCTCTGAACATTTGAACTGTGTTTCTCAATGGCTCCTGCATCATGAAGCAACATTAACCTGGACTCACCTGTCTCACAAAGCTGGCTCACTTTAACCAGCTTACATCGCTACGTCTTTGCTGCTGGGATAAACCTGCTTCAGGTTGAGTTTAGAGATCAAAACCCGTAAACAAAAATGACCACAAATGTTTACACATCGGTAGATTCACTTGGCCTTACAGTCTATAACGTGTGTCAGATATTTGAGAAATGTCTGTAGCACAACTAGTTACCCACTGCTTTTTAAATAATAATAATTCTTCTTATTTTTATTAGAGATCACAGTAGAGAGGTGACTGAGGGGAGAGAAGGGGATTGTTTGTAGACTCAACGTAACAACCAGTTGTAAAGTTAAAATACGATTTGGACAATTCGCTGAAACCAAGATGTCTGATATTTGCGTGCAGTTTGTTTGCTGGAAAACGAAGGCGATTATTTAATATCGGAAGTTAGAAATAACCAGCACAACATTTAGCCGGCGCAGAATAGATACGTCACAACAGATAAACATGGATGAACCATCCCCTTTTCTGGAGCAATATTAGCTGATAAATAAGTGCATCACTAATAAAAAGAAATACCCTCTACAACCTCGGGGGTTGGGACTCCCACTAGGCGTCACCAAATCTTTACGGGGGGTCATGAGGATGTCAGAAAACTTTAAAAACTATATACAGTAGGCCTCTGTCTCAGCATTTCGTTCATTTTTGTGAAGAAAACAAAATTAAATTGTTATTTTTAGAGTTTATATTTTTATTTAAGGTTTAAACTTTAAAAATAAATCTCTACCCGAACACGAGCTGAGAGCCTTCACTCTGCTAAACAGCCTCGTCCTGCATTAGAAAAGTTATAACAACCAAAGAGCTCATGGAAAGCGTCTGGGTGAGAAAAACACCGAATTTGTCAAAAGAGAAACCTAAAATAACATAAAACAGAGAGAATTGTATTCAAAAAGTCTTAAAAATATCAGGAAGACTCATTTCTGATGTTTTATTTACAGGAAATAATCTGCTAAGAATTCATCCATCATTATTTTTAATATCTGGACACATCGGACACTTTAAATCATCATTCAATAGTCAGTGAAACCCTGGTTAGGTTAACTTTCTACTGGTTAGCCAGCGTAAAGCTTACATATTGTTGCTATGGTTACACGCAGTTTAACACGCCGTGTGCACTGATTTTAGAACAATTGATCCGCAGTTGAACTGCAACCGGAGCCGCATCAGGTGTCCGATTAAAGACTTCTTATCTGTAGCCGTGGATTAATAAGCAATAATTAAAGTTTCCTTTCCTCCTTATGGACACATTTACTCTTAATTTTAACTGCCAGGTTTTCTATCTGTCATAATTTTACGTTTTAATTGTTCATCAGGAAACATTGAAGCATTATGTCAATAATCAATTACTTTTTCTCACTCAAACACTTTGATGAGGAGATTAAATTTAAGGAAGCCTATATAATAATAATGCCCACTATTAGCATTAGCCTATTACTTTTAGTGTTTGATTATTGCATTATTTGACTGTTATTGTTTACTTTTTATGTTAAATATGTAAATATTGTTACATGTACTGTATATTTCTTACTGATCTTTTTTTTTTTTTTTTTTTTTAAATATCTTTTTAACCTCGTTGAACCGTTTGCTGCTGCACTGACAGAATTTACCCCTCCGAGAGATCAACAGTTTTATCTGTAGAATAAACAGTAATTAAGTAACGCCTCTTAATTGTAAACAAACTCCTTCCCAGTTTGGTAAATTGGGAGTTAACCGAGCCGGGGAACCAGCTTTGTGAGACCAATTTCTGTGATCACCAGTTTTTAGGTTGTTTTTTTTGTTTTTTTTGTGAGGCCAGAAAACTCAGAGAAAGCCAGACTGAGGTGAACTTGCTTCTTGATTCAGGCCCCTGGTGTGTTAGTTCCTGTGGCCCCTCCAGGCTTCACACACACACCCCCCACACACACACACACACACACACCCACCACACACACACACCGACACACACACACACACACACACACACACACACACACACACACACACACACACACACACACACACACAAACCTTCAATGAGCAATTCCCTCCCTCCCCTCCTGTTTTCTTCCTGCCGACAGTGTTTTTATTCTGACGCTTCAATAGCTTTAATACTTCTCTCTCTCTCTCTCTCTCTCTCTCTCTCTCTCTCTCTCTCTCTCTCTCTCTCTCTCTCTCTCTCTCTCTCTCTCTCTCTGTGTTGCCTGCCTGGCTCAGCGACTCGTACACACACTCCCTTACGCCCTTACTGTAAACCGCCGTCTGAGCGCGGAAAAATGTCTCTCAAACAAAACTTAAAAAAAAACTAAAAAAAAGAAAAACCAGGATCCCTGCCGCCTTATGTGCCCTGCAGTAACCCCCCCTCCTGCCCTCACTTCCCCCACCCCCCCTCCTCCTCCCGTCCCGCCCTCATTTTCTCTAGGTGTGCCTCCGTCAACAGAACTTCAGGCCGTGATTACTGAGAATGAACTTTGAAACTGTGTGAGTGACGTTTGTGCGTCTGCGAGTGTGTTTGTCAGCGATAGGAGAGATTTTAAAAACAACAAAAAAAAACCAACAACAACCTTTCTGTCCTCTTCTCTGTGCATCCATGTGGGAACTAAGTCCTAGTTCATGAACTCTGACCTTTTGACCAGGCACTCATTCAGTCCCTTGTTGTGGTGGTTGAGAGAGGAGGTTACGTGGGGACCCGAGAAGCCCCACTGTCTACCCACAGTCAATGTTTTATTTATGGACCTCTGCACTTTTGGCTGTGATGACTTCAGTACTTAAGTAGTTACCTAAACTGTATTTTTAAGGATTTTATACAATATTTACATGCAATACGATATGAATTGATTTTTTTTTTTTTTTTTTTTTGCCAACCATTTTTGTTTTGTTTTGTTTGTTTCTTATTTAATTGTCTTTATTTTGGCATGATTTTGTCGCTATTATTCACAAACAAACGTGCCCGTTGGATCTATTTTAGGTGGAAAATGTTATGGGGGTGGGGTGGGGATTCCCTGTATGTTTTTTGTGTGTCATGCTTCTGATGACAGCTGAACACCAAGAAGCAGGTGTTGGAAAATATTTGCTGGATGAGCTAAACTTTGATATCACCCCTCTGCTTCCAATAGGAATAACTGGACCAGAACGAAGAGAGAGAGAGAGAGAGAGAGAGAGACCCCACTTGAGCTTAAATGTTTATTTTCTGTGTCATGTCCAGTTATGATTTGAGTGTTTTCTTTTTTCTACTCATTCATGGAAGTCTTTTACCCAAATACTGTTATTGTGCTACGATAACTTGAGCCTGAAGAAACATCATCATAGGAAACAATAGAGCTGCGAAGTGGGATGGAGCTGTTTTTGGGCTCCAATGGTACTGGAAGTAAAAGTGCAATTCATTATTTCTGGAACAGAATGAAACCCTGATTAAACTGCGTTTTTACTAATATGGGGTTAGTTACGTCTCCCAAGAAGCATTGCGGCAAGAAAGGAAAGTGCTGTTAAGAACACTGTTTTTTTTTTTTTTATAATCTGCAGTTTAAATCACTTGGTTTGTTGGTGAATGTTATCTCTGTGCAGTCCCTCCAGGAATTTGCAATCGCAGCAATTAATGCAAATTCAACCAATTGCAGTGAATTCTGATTGAGTTTTTGTCCAATCACCTTAATGTTTCTGCAAATTTTGACCAATCAGAGCACTCCCTACGCAAAATATTTGAGCCATATGTCGCCAAACCACTAGTGATTTTATTCTCACAGGAACAAGTTGCCTTTGATTTTTAATGAATTGTACAAAAACTCTTTTTGCAGTTGTCACTTTTTTCCGATATTTCAATACAACATCGCAACTTCTGTGAAAAGCTGCTGTGAAATCAACAATCCCCCCCCCTAAAAAAAAAAAAAAGCCTGTGACAACCTGGAGGGACTGACTGGCTCCTTCTCCATGAGGCTCGTGGGTGTTTGTAGTATTTAGAGCCGTCTGCAAATGACGAATAATGATTTCTAAGAAACAAACAAAGTTGAAAAATAATGGTCATAATGTGACGATCTTTACGTTCTCCGGTCCGAGTCCTGAAACACAGAATGGAGAAAAATCACTTCCAGGACCAGCGGCCCCTCCCCACTTCGCAGCCGTGAGGAGGTCTGTGGGAGTGGAGCGTTTCAGCTGAGACTATTATATATAATAAGTGTATAATACAGCAAAGGTAGAATATCTACTGTGTGGATCTTTAGAAGATGAGGAAAAAGTGAAAAATATAGAGCAAATGGTTCCTTTGCAAATATGTGGAGGGGGGAGTGGGTGGGGGGCGGGGGGCATGTGCAGACGGGATGGTTCCTGTGTCAGTGGTCGTCATAATGTGTCTGTGACAAGGGGACAGGGTTGCCTGTATTTATAAAGGTTTGATTTTTTTAACTGGGGGGTGAAAGGGGTGAGGGTGGCGTCCCAAAACGTGTTCCATGTATGTGGTCCAAGCTACAAACGACGGGGAGAACAAATGAACTGGATAACAGAACAATTTGGTATTTTTGAAAATAAAAACTTGGCATTACAAAGCCACCATGTGGCCATATGATGCAAGTTGTTAACAAGGACAAAAACATGTTATTTTAATGTTATTTTTTATTTTGAAATCATATTATTAATAAAGTCATTAAGTACTGTTGTCCCTGTTGTCCCTGTGTGTCCGATCATTGACCGCTGTGTGACCCCTCGATCACGGCTGCGTGCGGAGGGGTTCACGTGAGGTTCATGTGATGGTCAATGCGGTCTGCGTGGGGTTAAAAGGACAAGCAGCAGGCTGGGCAGTAATGCTCGTGATGCATTGACCATCTATCGAGGAAATGTCACTATAGGGAGAGACGTTTATTGGCAGAGGCTGATCAATAAATTGTGCTCTGTGAAGCAGCTCTGCTCAGAGCTGCTGTGAGAACCACGAGGCCTCTGCTGCAGTTCAACCTCCATTATTAACAGTTTATTCACATTAAATAGTATATATATGTTATATATATTATATATTTAACATTATAGCTCTTGCAGTACTGTAAGATACTGTGACTATAAAGTAATACTGAGTTAATACGGAGGTATTGATCCCTTTAATATCTCTCTGTCTGGTTATTTTCAACACTTTCTCCATTAACTTACAGAAAATTAACTATTGCAAAATATATAAATATTGCAGTTAACTGTTAAACAATTATTTGATTTATTTAAGAAAAAAAATTTATTGTTGAAGTCATTTTTACAGAAACACCATAAATTGATTAAGAAAATGATCAACAGATTAGTTTATCAGATTTCACGGAGCTCCTTCTGGAGCCACAGAAAGCTTCAGACACACTTTGTTCCCCTTTACAGTTATATAATATATATATTTCTTTTATACTACAGTATTTTCTATACTGTGGTAATACTCGGTAGTACTTACCTTCATACAGGTGTTTGTTTCCCTGGTTACTCTCCATTAACACAACATATAAACATGTATGTGATCTCGTTTGTTTGTTTGTTTGTTTTGCACTACGATTAGTTTTTTTATCCTAGAAAGTAGTAAAAGTACATATACTCGAATACTTTGCTTAAGTATAATTTTGAGGTACTTGAGTATTTCAATTTCATGTCACATTATCAGGCTTGGGGGGGGGGGTAACGGATTACAGGTAACTGAGTTAAGTAATCAGGATACTAACAATGGTAACTAATCCATTAATTGTAAAAAAAATAATACAAATTTAAAGTACATTTTAAAAAAGTATTTTAGAATAAACTCATCAAAACTTATTGATATTTATTTTCTCTGGTTCCTATTTGCATGTTTGCTGTTGAGGTAATCCAAAACTAACAAAGTAATCAAGTAATCAGTACTTTAATACTGTGATACTTGGATTAGGTTACTGACTACATTTTTTAACTGGTAATTAGTAATCAGAGTAACCCTCCCAAACCTGCACATTGTACTCTTTACTCCACTACATTTATTCGATGACATTAGTTACTTTACTGATTTAAATTCATAATAATACAAAATAAAATACGTTTGTGTAGTTATAGATTAAAATAATTCTCTAACTAGCCATCAGTATATAAATGAATTAAAATCAGCTGCAACTCTAATAGCTTAAAGTGATGAACACATCAATAGTTATAATACAATACTGCAACATAATAACATAATAATATACCGTATTCAGTAAACTGGATTTATTCTGCATAAACTAGAATAATTCTTCCACACTGAATTCTTGGACGTTAAACAGAAGAACCATCAGAGCTCCGAACATCAGCTTAATCAACTTTTATTCCATGAATGATTAAACACACAAACATCAGAGCTTCCTTTTTCGCCTGCATTTCACTTTCAACCCTGTTATCGTCAACAACAACAACAACACACGACAATGGACGCTCTTTAGGGCAAGTGAATCCTGCTCTGTCGGTCTCTGAGTTTGTAACATTTAAAAAGGGAAAAGCCCTTTAATAAAACGTTGTGGTTTTAAAACCCTGAAATAACGTTCATTGGGCTTTACACTACCCTTTACGCTACAGGTTAAACTGTTCCAATTTTAGCTTTGTGAAGACCAAAGAGAAACTCACTCAACCTGACTGACCAAACACCACCAATTCCTTTATTAACTTTTTAAAAAAAAACAAAAAAAAAAAAATTTTCTTTTTTTTTTCCCTTTATTTTATTTTTTAAAAAACAAAAAAAACCTTCACATTGAACTATCAGAGTGCTACAAATACCAACAATATAACTATATACAATTCCTTCATTTACAAGATCAGCTCTTTGGAGTGCAACAACCTCTTTCGCTTCCTAAAATGTTTTATTTTCAACGTGTGTGAAATGTCTTCAAAGATCAAAACCTCGAGTGTTTGAACATTTATATGTGTGAAGCACCAAATGTGGCAAAAAAAAAAAAAAAAAAAAAAACTCTAATGCAGTTCATATATTCGCCATAAACCTAAATATAATCTAACTTTATATACATTTTCCACCCGTGTCACAATTTTTTCTACATGTTTTGAGTGCAAGAAATTATGCATGAGAGGAGATTTCTGTGTTTCTGAATGAACGGCAGAAAAAAAATCAACTGAGAGATAAAATTAAATAACAACAAATTAAAGATGATGTAAGCAAAACAATTTTAAAAAAGGCAATAGATATGGCTTCAATGGCGTGTTTTTACAGCATGAAAAACAAAATTTGAATGCTTAGTTATGAGATAGATTTCAATATAACTCTGCAACTGTTGCAACATTTTTTTGCCCCCCCAACACATGTCCAAATAAATGACTTATTTTCTTTGAAACCAGGCTGACAACTACGAGAGAAAACCACCAGTTACATGTAAAAGGCCAGTAAACATTGGATATGATTTGCTGAATTTCATATGAACTCTTTTTACTAGAAATGTTTCATTTGAAGCTCTTTTGGCCCACGCAAACTTTGGCAAACCGAAAAATAAATAAAAAGAAGAACATTTAAAAAAAAAAAAAAAATCAAATGACTTTAAAAACATCTTATAAACTTGTTTTTAAAAGTTTTTGGATTCTCCTTCTGTTTATCTCAAGTAAAGCAGTGCAATAAACGACAGCTCCGGCTAGCCGATATTCCCGTTCATCCAAATAAATAAGTTGAATTCTTCCTCAAAATCATAAAGCTATGTTACAATGGCTTCTTCTTACCCACAAAATGTAAACCGAGACACAAGGACCAAAACTTAAGGCAAATCGAAAACATTTTTACAAGAGAAGGAACGGCGGCAGGGAGCGGGTTGGATATATGAGGTGGAGAGCGCCCCCTGTCTGCCGCTGGAGGAGCAGCTCTATTTGGGAGGCAGAGGGTTGTCGGGGGTCGTTGGAGTCGCCAGCTCCTTATAAAAGTTCTCAATCTGCTCCTTGTACATTTTCATCACCACCGGCCGCTTCAGCTTCATGGTGGGGCCTGTGGAGCAAATGTAAGAATTCAGATTGTTTATCTTAATAAATATCTTGATGTTGTTACTGAGCTCAGTTTATGTTTTTTTAAAGTCCTGTGGAAATTATCTAAACTCCACTAGATGTCATTAAATCGGAGGTTTAACTTGAGTATCAGCACTAAAAAAAAGAGAAATGTGTATCAAAAGAACCTAAACACTAAATAAAATGAATTCAAAAAGCTACAGTGTCCATAAATATAAGATATAAATCTAAATAATACCTACAGAATACACAATATATAGAAAATACTAAAGATGCACTGAAAATAAAATTAAAAAAATAGAAATTTGCCTTTTTGTAATGAGCAATGGTTTCTAAGGCAACTAGCTGTTATTTTACCAATTTAATCTGATTATTATTTTATTTATTAATATAAAAAGTAAGAAAACTGTGACAAGTGCCCATTTAAACTTCCCAGAGCACAATGTGAGTTATTAAAATAGCTTGTTTTCCTTATAGATATTCACGTATACAGGACAAAGGAGAGCAGAAAGTCTTAAAGAATTAGTAAAAGTTAGTTTTTTTCAATAAATTATAATAAAGTTGTTGATTGATTTTATATCAACTAATTGTTTCAGCTCTAAGACTTTGATTTAACTGTTCACAACCAATAGACATCCAGAATATGATGCTTTGTATAAAGCTAATAAATGTTGGGAACCACTGAGTTAGAGCATCAACTGAGTTCTTCTTCCCACTCACCCAGCTCTCCTCCTGTAACCGAGAAGTCCCGATCCAGAACGATCCACTTTTGAATGCGCTGAGCGTTGGAGGTCGCCTTCTCGTTGACCCGGTTGATTCCCTCCTGGATGGCGGCGTTGATCGCCCGTTCTCGGCCGCCTGCGATCTCAGAGACCCGTGTGGCGTTGCTGCCCAGCTTCCGGCAGAACTCCACAGCTTCTGGCATCAGTTCATCCTCTGGATCGGCTGACTCTGCGTTTACCTGACACTGGAGAGAAAACAGTTGAAAGGTTTTAATTTGATTGCCTTGTTGTTGTTTTTTTTATACTTAAATTGTCTTAAAACAATTAAAATTTGGAATTAGGGTCAGTCTATATGCAGTTCCCTAAAAAGCCCACTAGATGGCAGCATCTGAAAAGAAACCAGTGTTCCTCTTTTCACTGCTGCTCTTTTTGCTATCAGTATAATGATTCTTTCTGATATTAGATAAAAGGGTATTAAAAGATAGGATGTTTACAAAGCGGAGAGCCAGACATGTTTGCAAATTCACATCTCAGATTGCTAACCAGTTACATCTGATACCCTGCACAACTCTCCATTATCTCCTCGAGTACAGCTTCCCTGCTTACTTACCTTAATGGTTAACAGCATAGACAGAAACTTCCTCTTGTCTCCGATCAGCATGGCGTTGCTAATCAGTGGCACGGCCTCTTTCACCGCATCCTCGATTGGAACAGGAGGGATGTTCTCGCCTCCCGCTGTGATGATCAGCTCTACAGATCAAACACAATGACAGGTTAATGAACAGACAGGTTTAATTAATCACGGATAAACAAAAAAGGTCCTTAAGGCTTAAAGAGATTCAATTTCCTCCGACAGGACATTTAATCCATATTTTTGGAGGCTTTAAAAAGGAGAATCTAAGCCTCTCTCCTTCATCCAGTACCAAAGTACCTGTTTGACTGTAAGAAATACAGAATAAGTACCTTTAATTCTTCCGGTGATGAAGAGGAATCCGTTCTCGTCGTGTTTTCCCAGGTCACCTGAGTGCAGCCAGCCCTCCGCATCCAGAGCCTCATCCGTCTTGTCGGGCATGTTGAGGTAACCCATGAAGACGTGACGGCCCCAGAAGCAGATCTCGCCGTTTCCTTCCTCGTCCGGGTTGTGCAGCTTCGTCTTGCACCCTGGGAGCTCTTTACCACAACTGCAGGGACAAAAAACACCAAAACATCTATTTAATTCAGCACCACGCACGTGTTTTGAATTGGCTTTGATTAGCAAGGAAATTCTGACTCAAATTAAATTAAATTAAGTAGTAAAAAGAGAAATGTACCTGGTGAGTTTGAAGGCTTCGGGGTGGGAGATTGTGTGAGGTCCGGTGCTCTCGCTCATGCCGTACAGCTCATACAGAGGAATATCCAGGCTGAGGAAGAACTCCAGGGTGTCTTTGGTGATGGGTGCGGCGCCTGTGTAGCACTTGGTGCAGCGGTCCAGGCCCAGGGCCTTGCGCACCTTTTTGAACACAAGCTTTTTAGCTATGCGATAGCTGAGCGGTGTGCGGCCAGCTGCTGCGTTTCTGAAGAGAGACAAAAACTGTGTTTAGAGCCAAGGATGAATCCTCCCTATCTTTACTTCTAGTGCCACCATGAGGTTGACTTTTGAGAGTTTAAAATCATATTTTTTACTTACTCTTGTTGTGTAATGACTTAAACAGTGTCAGTGTCAAACAGATCATAAATGAGACACACAATAATATCCAAAAATGACATACATACAGAAGTACAACAGAAGATAATAACATTTCAGTAAAAAGACAGGAGCAGAGAATGGAAACGGGAACGATTTAACCATTTCTAAATAAAGCTGTAAGTTCATAACGTGCACATACTGATTAATCTTGGTCAGGTTCGTCTGCAGACCGACATCTTTGGCCCAGGCAGCCACCTTCCTGCGCACAGTCGAAGACTTGGCTCCAATAGACTTCATCTTCTCCTGCATCTTCTCCCAGACACGTGGGACGCCCATGAAGGCTGTGGGACGCACCTCCTTCAGGGTGTTTACCAGAGAGCCCTGATAAAAAGAAACACAAATATCACTTTAAAGTGTACAGCTCACATGGAGAGGAAGAGAGTAGGAAAGTCTCCGACCGCAATACGAGTAAAAATACTACATGAAAAGAAGCTTTGTCATGCCCATGTTTCCCCCTCATATGTCCACCCTCAGGATACTGGAACTCTTAATCTTGTAATTTGCCTCTCCTAACTACATTACACACTAATAAATGGGTAGGGGCGATGATAACGATGGGGAAAAGCCCTAAGAAATAAAGAGCCCTGAAAGGCAGCAGCAGCATACCATACGTGTTTTTACACCGCAGATAAATTCCTATGAAAGGAGACGTTATGGAAGATGCACATGACGGGTTCAAGGATCAGAGATATGTTTTTGATGACTGCTGATTCATGATGATCCAATGAATTTATCCTCTGTTTTTATGCCCCTCATCTATGAAACACCCTCCCCCTTGATCTTAGAGTGGCAAACTGGCTTCCTATTTTTAGACCCATCTTTTTAAATCAGGCTTTATATTTCGGATAATCATAATTTCTCTGAACTGTGTTTCTTATTTCTCTTATTTGTATCGTTTGTAACGTTTTATAGTTCTCTGCTAAGCATTGTTTTAATCCTGTTTTTGTGAAGCTATCTGGGCTTTGTTTCTGCATTAAAGGTGCTGTACAAATGTATAATATATCAAAGATGTACGGCATTAATTAATGTAATCGTGATGGCTGCTGATGTGCTGATTCTAATTCAAATAGCCTGTTTTTCCTTTGATGAAAAAATATTTAAGTATTTATCCACAATCTCTGCAGTAAAAAGTGGCCCATATATTTTGTGTTTACAGAACTGATGTATCTCACCTTCAGCGCGTCCGGCTGAGCGAAGTAGGTCGCCCCTCCGACCTTCATGGTGACCCAGATGTCGACCATCTGAGCAGCGATGTGGCTGAGCGGCAGGTAGCTGACCACCAACTCCTGGGCCTGAGTGGCGTCTGTCAGATGCACGTGGCGGCTGGTGGAGAGCGCGGTCCACGTCAGCTGAGGGGAAGCGGAGAGGAATACCGTCAATATGATGCATCTTAATTGTTTTATGTAGGAGAGGTCATATAGAGACACAGCGTGGGAATGTATATGAGTGTTTTGTCGCTCTGTCAGTGAACTTTGACAATAATAAAATACGTGTATGAATCAATTAAAGACTTGTTTTCAGACAGTCAGGTGCCAAGTTAACAAGTTTATAGTTCAACAGGACTAAAGCACATCGTTCGGGCCAGAGTCCTGAACACACAAGGGGAAGTGATTTTATTTTCTTAAGATATTTCAACAGATACCCGAGTAGAAACCTGCCTAACAAGCAGAGCAATACGCCCGGCTGTCAGCAACATCTGCACTTTTCTCCCCCCTTACGAAACAGGAGTTCATGCTGTCAGTGTCAGGAGACGAACATGTGACACCTCAATTCTCTCAGAGGTAAAAAAACAAAAACACACTTGGCTTATACAACTTACATTATCATGGCTGAGCATGACTCCTTTGGGCTGGCCTGTGGTTCCTGAGGTGTAGATGAGCGTGCAGCATTGGTTGGGCTTCTGGCTGGAGATGATTGCGTCGAGGGGTTCGTCGGGCTCGTCGCGTCCGAGCTCCATGAACTCCGCCCACTGAAGCGCACAAACAAAAATCACTTAGAAGATGCTCCTCGAACGACGTGAATCCTTTCGTGTTTCTCTTACGCAGATAAATGTGCTTACTGTATACAGATTTGATCTCTTCTCTTTTAGTGCATCTTTGTACTGGATAATGGCTTTCAAGTGTGGCAGCTTGTCTTCAACCTGCGAACAAACAGGATACAGTCGAAAGAGTACATAGTATTATATTATATTATATATATATACACATATACATACACACACAGTCAACAAGGAGACTTCATTTCTACACAACAGGTTATAAATATTTGTAATTATTTCATTACAGAAAATGTAAAAAATAAAGCTAAAAAAAATAAGATTAAAAAGGTGGAAAAAAATCTATAGTTGTGTCCCAAATCTATAGTGCATACTAATTCTAATTCAGGTTTAAAGTATATAATGTGCTCACATTGAGAAAGTTATTGAGAAAGTCAGTATGCAGATTAAAGAGTAAATGTGTATAAATGGAGTTGCTCACAGCTGGATAACTTTTTATTATCAGTGACAGAGGAAGTATTGTATCATTTCCTGGTAATAGAAAATCATTAAGTGTGTTTATTTATTGTAAACTAACAGCAAAACCACTATAGACCGATAAAGACTGGAAGGTTATTCACACTGTAAACATCAATACATATTTAATATGAAACTGGGACACAGAAGAAACTTTATTATAACTGTATTTATATTATGGTTCAACCATTTCTGAGCTCACCTGAAGGATCTTCTGCAGCTGTTTCTGGTTCTCCACCACAATGATATTGGCCTTGCAGTTGTCTGCTACATACTGGCATGCCTCGGGAGAGTTGGTGGTGTAGATGCCCACAGCAAACCCACTGCAACACACAAAAAGGATCAGTCAGACTTCTCGTATCCTAACACCCTTTTTGCTACTTTGGAAGATTGTATGTAGTAACCCTGCTGTAGGAGACGTCCCAAAACCATCTCCACTGTGTCTGATCAGACTACAATCATCTGCACTGACTTTACAAGCTGAAGTATCGTCTCTAACTTTCTGTATTCTCTCCATTTTTGTCTGATGTTTTGTTTTCTCACATTCCTAGTGAAGCTGGGACAATAGAAACTATTTGACCTGGCATTCAAATGCTTTTCATTTTGCTTTCCAGTAACTTGATCTGCAGCAAACACTCACAGTCTACCACTGAGTTTATACACTACACCTTTGATTTGGCTCGTCACCGGCTCAGTACTGGTTTGACTGGTTGATGGTAGTATCAGTACACTCTTAATGCCATGCATAAGCACTGAATGAGCAGATAGTAGGTGTGGGAGACCTATAGAATCCACAAACAGCATCAGTATGTGTGTTGGTTTCTCATATGCACTCAGTTTCTCAGTCTATTTTAGCTCGCTGAAGGAAGCACAACCTTTGATTTCTGTTGGGGGGGGCTGCAGCATTTATGCAATCACCGCAGAAGAGAGACGTCTGATTACTGTTATGTCATCTGCACAGCTCATCAGTGGTGGAAGAAGTACTCAAACATGTACTTAAGTTAAAGTACCAATAAAACAGTGTATAAATACTCCGTAATTTAAGTAAAATTAAATAGTATTACCCATTGCTTCACCTTTGCCTACCTGCTCAGAGAGGTTACATAATGTCACACTGCCATAAAGTGGTATCAGGTGTAGTATCAGCATACTTTTATGATTACAATCACAAGTACAGAAAATATAGATAGAGAATATAGAGATACTGGTATCAGTGCATCCTTACTAAGCAGCATTTCACTGTTGCAGACGGTTGAGGTGGAACTTTGAAAAACACCCAAATAAAGTAAAAGTATCTCAAAATTATATTTAAGAAGTTGAGTGAATGTTCTTTGCTGCAGTTCATCAGCTTTACTGTTAAACATAGCGCTGGAATCTATCCATCAAGATGCCTTTAAGCTAAGTGGCTAAGTGCTGAAGGGGGTGACACCAGAGGTTGTGCTCCAGTGTACTTTTCAAGTTTCAAGTCACGCTCTGCACCACTTAGGTATGTTAGACACGCATGCAGTTCATTACACACGTAAACACATAGTTTGCAGTCCTGATGTAAGTGAGGCAACACTGAGTTAATTGCAGACAGTCATATAACACCACACAGCTTCAGAGATGATGAAGGAACTCACCCTGCCAGAATGGCTCCAATGTCAGCGATGAACCACTCGCTGGAGTTGAAGCCCAGGATGCCGACGCCATGGTAGCGCTGCAGACCGAGCTGCAGAGAGACAACACACACTTTTTAAGCATAAATTAAATAACACACTGTTAATTAATCCTAGAAATAATATTGGGTTATATCCCGCACATCCATTTCCAGTTTATAAATTAGCCGGGACATTGCAGGTACAGTGTAATCTCCCTTTCCTTTAAGCTGTTCGGTTTCATTTTGGGGGGCAGACAGGAAATGTGGGGCGAGAAAGGGGGGTGACATACAAAGGCCCCCAGCTGGATTCAAGCTGGGGGACGTTGCAGTTTGTGCAGTACATGTCTCATTTTCTAAGCCTCTGTAATGCCCCCTCTTTAATTTACTTGTTAAAGTTTGGAGAAATAAACAATGTAAATATACTGAAGTCAGTGGTTATTCTAAGATGAATCTGCAAGTTTCCTCTTTCCTCATGAAACTCTTCACACACACATTTAAAATCAGTCTCAAACATAAATTTGTCCTTATTCCTGAAAACGTGGAGTGATCAGAGCTCAGGGTTTTGTTTGAAGCACACTGCCGCGGCAACCGTTACCGTAGAAACAGACATACAGTGAAATGTACGCGAGATTGTCACAATGGAAACTGATACCACGTTCAACACTGCCATGAGCTTTAAATAACTCATAAAGTCTTTAATAACAGTAGTTGAAATATAATGTCTGAGGCTCGACTCCTGCAGACGGAAACGTGACCCCATTGTGGGTTTTAAGTGTGCTTCGTTAACTGCACAGAGCCAAAGAAGACTTCATTGTTACAATGGGAGCTGTGCATCATAAACTTTTGACCTATATCAAGTTTCCTGTTGCATAGCGCGTGTGGGTGCACCGAGTTCATGTTGGTTTGAATGTACGAGTACAGAAAAACACACGTTTAAGTATGTCTTTGTGTGTGTGTGACTCCTGCTGAGTCTCCATGCTGACTAACTGCGTTGGGCTTCACAACAAACAATAACGTGCCCTGTCCCATTTGAACAGCTGAGGCCTGTCCAGAGCTGTCTCACTGACATTTCAGCCTGACTCCTTCATGCTGCGTCAAGCGTCGTCTAGACTGACTTGGCATAAAGTCAAATTCAATGCCACAAGACCGGACAATGACAACAAAAGTCGATTGTTTAAAACTAAAAAAGACATCTTAGACCTTTTTGATACTGGAGGACAATCGTTGCTCTGGGTGTATATAAACAAAGTGTGTCTTTACAGATAACTCTCTCTTACTTTTCAGGCGGTTGTGTAACTGAAACTGAAATGAGACTACCCTGAGGAAACGCTCTAATTGCACAACACCGTGTCCTAAAATTACCCAGCACTGAAATGTTCTGGGTTGGGTTTCCAGTAAACCTGAGGAAGCAACAACTCATAGATCTGAAATAATTTGATTTCCTCACATATCTATTATAAAATCTATGAAGCTGAGCTACACATTAACCACAGTTACCGCTACTGTGTGTGTTAGAGCTGCACCAACAATCATTTTCATTATTGATTCATCTGAGATTTTATGGCCAGTTATTTGTTGTTTGTTGTGTCTATAAAAAGGTCCAGTGTGTAACATTTAGGAGGATCTCATTACATGTCATATTCATAGGTATGTTTTCATTAGTGTATAATGATCTGAAAATAAGAACTGTTGCTTTTGTTTCCTTAGAATGAAGACTTATTCATCTACAGATGCCGTGGATCGCCTTAATTCGATAAAAAAAAGACATCTGCCATATTTCCACAGTAGCTTGGAAGAGGAGGGTGAAACAGCGAAGTTACTATCTGCCACTAAACCCCACTAGATGCCACTTAAGGTGACATATTCCACATGGATCTGCATCGATCCTTTCATATATGACCACTGTTTATAGTAGATTACTCAGTAGATAAAAACATTACTACCTTAAGGAAGCTCTTGGCGGCGGTGCGGCAGGTCTGGTAGTATTCACTGTAGTTCAGGCTCTTCTGCTGCTCGCCCTCCTTCCAGCTCAGAGCTGTATAGTTGCCATAGCGCTCGACAGCTGAAGTGAACATCTGGTTAACGGTTAAAGGGGTCTCTGCAGCCAGGCCAGAGTCCCCCATCCTCAGTTTCACGTCTGCCTCCCCCTGTGACGTCCACAGGCCGGGCTCTCCTGCAGCTTGCACCGACAGCGAGTTTGGGCGCTGGGATTTCACTAGAAAATGTTTTTTTTTAAAAAGACAGAAAAATAAGTTCAAAGTTTCCAAGAGATCGTAGTTCAGACCTCTTTCCCCAAAGAAGCACGCAGAACTAAAATTTCTGCTGGAATATTTTTGTTTCCCTAATCTCCATGTGACTTGCAACAGAACACCCTGTTTTTGTCATTTTAGACGAGATGCCTCTCACTGTCTGGCACAACATTAAAGCTACAAACAAACACGGACCACTAAGCAGATGAGGGATCCTGGTCCGAGCCCTTGGCAACAGTGCTGGACTCACGGTGGACGCACACATGAAGAAAACAAAGTCTGACTTCAGGTTGACCAGATGTAGTTTAAAGTCAATATTATCTCACCATTATATCAACTTCATAGGCTGCTGAACAGTTTTAAAACACAAAATGCACATTTATTGTGTTTAAGTTATTTTATATTTCATGTAAACTGCCATTTTGAGTACCTTAAAAAGCACTCTGTAAATAAAGGGTTTTATCATCATTATTATAAATATAAAACAGCACATCTGCACATCTTAAATTATCTTAAAGTTTTGTTAGAGAAAAACTTTGTACGTAACTGTCGAGTTGTCAAAATATGATCCATCAGATCTTCATACAGGTTGTAAAATGTATGTCAGCCAAACAGTAAACAGTAAACGACCCCAACCCCATCCAGTGTAAACATCTGTTTCAATTTACAGAACAACTTCCTTGTTAAACTAACTTACTAACTCAACAGCCACACACACACACACACACACACACACACACACACACACTTTTAATGTAATGCTGCCACATTCAGAGAACCAAGGGAGATTTTCTTTTACTTGTTGATTAGAAAATAGGGAAGCACAACTTCCATTTTGTGTGTTTTTTACAATCAGAAAGAAAAATGTGCCACTGACCGAACAGCCAGCGAGATACTTTCAATGTACGATGGTGTCATATTGCGGACAGAATAACTTAATTATGGTGGATTTATGACTGAATACAAGCAGCTGGTGATCAGGACACGGAGCAGACGAGAAGGCAGGACAAGGAATCTTTTCACCAGTAGCAGACGTCGATAGTTCAATTAAATGATGTTTCATTCAGTGAGTAAATCTAACAATAACTAAAAAGATGTATAATTCTATGAATCCAAACGAATATAAAAACATATTAAACAGATTCCAGCTCACGTAATTATAAAAAAGGGACCAGTAAGCAGTCCCTGAACCACTAGATCAGCGTTATCAAAGTCAAAACTAAAGAAATATCAAGGAATGGGATGTATGCGTATTTTCCACTCGGTGACTAAGACAGGAAGGAATGTCAAAGTGGAGACTGAAAGCAGGAAAAGGAAAGTCAAATTGTTCTGCCAGAAAAATGCAGGAACTTCTGTTTGGCCCCACTTCCTCTCTGAAATTTCTTCCTGAGAAAAAACACACCATCACTAATGCTGACCTCAGTGACTGGATCCAACTCAGAACATATAGCCCAGTTGTGTCTGTTTATTGCGCATAATTTTAATCTGGTTGCACCACCCTCACTAAATGTTAGAGTTTAGGGAGGAGCGAAGAAAGAGTAAACACATTCGACCTGGTGGTATTTTTCCCAACCCTCACCTGTCTGTGTGTTTGAGGTCTGTTCAGCAGAGACCTCTGTAGTCTTGGTGCTGCGTGTGACTTCATTGTGTGCACCAATGTCCTCTTCTCTTTCCCCTGTGGACTCTTCCTCTGAGGACTCGCTGCAGAAAAAAGGAAAGGAAAAAAAAACATGTCACCTAACAGAGGAAAGGTGATTCCCAAAGTGACTGAGTGACACTCTAGGGGAAAACCAGAGGCAGAAACTTGACCCTGAATTGAGTCATAGGGGGAAAACTAGGGCTCCCAACAGACCGTTAACTCATAATCAACCTGAAAGTACAGAATATACCTTCATCTCAACCGTAGGTCTTGTAAACCCTCACAATAATAGTTCTACGTAAAGTTTATATCATTAGTGCATTTAATTAAAGTTTCAAGAAGAAAGAAAAAGTGATAAAACCACTTTAAACACACTGACAGGAATCATCACAATTACTAACATTATGTGAGCAACTAATGCTCTAATGTGGCCTCGTGGAGCAGAAAAATATGTTTGTTCTTCTTCTGTAACTCATTATAATGTTGTGACCCCCTCAGATTCACCTCCTAGCACCCTGGTTGGGAACCAAAGCCCTCGAGACAGCGGTGTCAAGGTATCTTAGGATGTGTTTGTGTGGACCTACTTTGCTGTATCCACAAGGACGTCATCAAAGGATGCCGCGCTGTCTCCCGTGCCGCAGGACGACTCCAGGAGGCCGCCTGCTCTGGGAGGCTCCATCACCACGGCTTCTGACATGGCGGTGGGTTCACACACAGTCACTGGAAGAGAGAAGGGCTTGTTAGTACATTTAACAAGCACGGCGGCAGTTTCAGATGATGAAGAAGATGACAGAAGCCACATGTGGATACACAAAGTAGTGCAAGCACAACCCACGAGGAGTTTAAACCTTTTTAATCACGTCCAAATCTCATCTGTCTTCCTCTTGCTGAGCTACTTAGTGGCGATTAGCATTTAGTATACGGCTGCAACTAGTGATAATTTTCATTAACGATTAATCCACTGCTAATTTCTCAATTATATCATGGCTGCACACAATGATTAAATAATTAAGCAATTAGAATAATTTTTAACTAATCAATTGTGTTGTTTAGTCTATAAAATGTCAGACAATTGTGGATAAATGCCCTAAAACTCAACAACAACAGCAAAACATTTTAAGATATTTGGTTCACACTGATATAAAACAGTGAAAAGCAGCAAATTCTCACAACTGAGAAGCTACAACCAGAGAATAGTTGAAGTTTTTGCTTATCACTTATCAAAATAATTGCCCATTAGCTGTCAGTCAATCATCTTATTGTTTAATATACATTGAGTTACTTCTGAGTGACACTGTTTGTTCATTTTTTAGACTTTATTGCTAGTTCGTTTAATAATAGTTGGTCCTCTTTGGGAGTTTTCTGTTGTAAATATTGTAAATAATCTGATGTGTAGATATTGTTGTGCTGATAGCAGGGCTCAGCCGAGGGTTCACTCCTGAGATCATTATTTCAGGTTGCTTGTTTTTCCTTGATAAGAAAACTAGACACAGACTTTTGGAGTAAGATCCAAACCTGGTCTTGTTCCTGAGAAGATACCTTCTGCCTTTTAAAAAACAGAAAAAAGGATCACTTCTCTGGTCTAATTGCGAGACAGTAACACCAACATGTGACAGCTGGCAGCTTCTACTACTCACAAGACTAACATCTGAGTGACGTTGACACCAGGGTCACATTATTTTTCCTTCCCCCGTTGAAGCTGGGGTTAAGTTTACACATCTATTCCTGTTTTTGGCTCTTGTGCAGCGTATAATCAGTTGTTAGGACATTTCATTAAGACATAACCTAAATATTGACGCTTTATATGGTGGCTGATTGCTGCTGAATAAACACAGAAAACGACGTACTGTTAATGCACAACACGCTGACAGGAAATCGCTCAGAGGACCACCACTATGTTTAGCTGCAGCTCGTTTATTATCAACCTTTATAGCTGGCTTTTTATGAGCTGCTTGAACAAACACTGTCTTTATCTGTACAACTACTACTGTTCACACAATTCGGTTGTACGGCAACAGCGTGGAGAACATATGGAGCCCGAGATGGCAAAGTGGAAAGTCTTTCATCGCCGTGCTTGGTCAACAAAATACCTTTTAAAAAAAAGTTTCCACCCCATCAAAATCCGATGAAAGCCGTGAAGATAAAGCTAAATCTGATTATGAAACCAAATGTTTAGATGACGAGGACACAAGAGATTTTTTATTTCTCCTCCATCACTCCTCCTGCATCATCTACATTGTGTTATGGTGTGAGTTGAAATGGGCCTGACCATTACCTCATCACAGGAAACACATGAAATCCTCCCAAACAATAAACCCTCACCGCTCGCCTACTGTCACACCAACACCTCCATGACGCTCCCTCTCATTCATTTGGTAAATAACTGGTCTGAGCTGCTGCTGCTGGCCTGTTTATTCAAGCGAGCTGAAAACACATACCAGTGGCTTTTTGTCTGCCTATTGTGGTAGCAGTCTAGCATGAATGTTGGGACAATTGGGGTTTGAACAAGTGGAAAGAAAGAAAAAAAAAAAAAACAGGCTCCAGGGAGAAAGTTTGTTCCATCGCGCTTCAAAAAGAGTCAAGAGTTTAACAGATATTTGACAACCACACCTTTCAAAAAGCTTTTAAAAACAGATAAAATGGATTCTTTCAATGAGTGAATTATACCTAAAATGTCAGAAACCAAATTGACAGCATTCCTTTAAATTCTGGACTCTGATGCCATTACTGTTGAATAAAAACCCACCCTACTTCAGTAATGAGGTGGACAGCCAGATGACCCCCCTCCCCCGAGGAGCCGTCATCACTACGGAGGCCTGAAGGTCTCACAGCTGAGAGGACAAATGTCACAGGGTGATCTCACCGCTGCTCACATGGACACACTCAAAGCTGCCATTTTACTTCGCCTCTTCCTCTCAATGCAGCTGCAGATGCCTCAATCACACACAGCTGTCAGTGGATGTGGTTTTCCAGCAGAATTTAAAAAAAGGAAAAAGGAGATAAATTGATGGCGGAGGCAGAAAAGTATGGAATGAACTGGGGTATGGGGGTTTTGGGGTGGACATTTTAAATCCCCCACTCTCCACCCTCCCTCCTCTTATTTCTTTGTGCTCTGTCATTGTTTTGGTCTTCAAGCACGGGGGGGGGTTCAAGGGATGGGAAGGGTTGGTTGGGGGGGGGCGTGACACTGATCTTGAGAAAAGGTTCAGTCACTTGCACCGATGTCTGCACAAATATAGCTTTTAACATCAGACTGGGAAGGGAAAAAAAAAAACCCAAGGCTATTTCTTGCTTCTCCCCTTCTTCATTACAAACCGTTTTGGTCTGATGAGCGTTCATCACATGAGTCCAACACGTTCAGATCAAGAATAAAGATTTGAGATGCGTGTCTCTGATTTAGGTCTAGGTCTTCTTGTCAGGCATATGAAATGACTTATAACATCAATCGTTTGTCACCAAGGGTTACCGAGTTATTCATCTGTGAATTTCCCCAAAAATAAAATCTCCTGCCTGGTAAACTATCACTTTCACATGTTATAATCCATTTCCTCAAATGCTGTGGTTTACTGGTATCACCCATAGGATGTGTTTATGGGATTCACTTCAACAGTAGATCCATGGTCTCCTGAGGCAGATGGGCTGCAACTATTGATTTTCAGTATGCTGCCAATCTATTGATTGTTTTGTCTAATTATTTAAAATGAAAGTGGCCCAGAACCCAAGGGGGGGACGTCTTCAAATTTGTTTAATCACCAAAACTTAAATATTTTTAACTTGTTGATAATTTTTAGTTGCTTAACAAATCAATAAACTGACTAATAGTTTGAGCTCTACTTGGGTTTGATATTCCCTTTCAGCCCAGAAAGACAGGAAGCATTTGATGCATGCTTTGTCAAGTTTTCTTAATACCCAGGATGAATTATCTGATGGGTTCAGCACTGCGCAAACTGACATTATTATTGCAACTGCATGCATGCAATCAGGAGAGGATTATAAATGTAGAGCAGAGTCATGCGTTGCACCAGCTGCTCAATTCATGAAGGGGAAACCGCAACAGTTGGATGGATAACGTCCTTTTTTTTTAAATCACTGTTGAATATAGAAGTAGTGTCTATCACAACCCTATAAACCTGAATGCTTAAATTCAAACAAGGGACTCTCCCCAACACAATACCACCATGCCTGCAAACTTCAGTTATGTTAATCCCCCGTGAAACAGTACAGACGAAACCCCACACCCTCCCTCCAGTTCTGTCTGCGTCGTCTCTCCTTGTCCAAGATAGCAGCCATCTCCACCTGACCTGATTTTCCATCAATACATCCTCTGAATGATCCGCATCCTCAGCCAGCTGCTGCCTCTAAACCCTGTCAGAGCGGTTTACGACATGGGTGTGATCCTCAGCATCCTCGCTATACAGGATATCAGTCCAAGCTTAAGATTTTTGATCCAATGCCAATGTTTTTAATAAAATGGGGCAAAGCTTTAAATGTATTCATTCATTGTTAGTTGCTATGTGGCAAATTCACAGAGATCTGCTGTTTGGGTTACACCCTTTTGCAAGCGAGCAGCTGTGCTCGCGTTGTGGAGGAGGTGATTGAGCCATACATTTCACTTGTGTTGAAATGTACAGATTACAGTAACTGTGAATCACAGCTGGGCTCTTATAAAAAGGGAAAAAATGAGCTCTATTTAATAACAGCTGTAGAGTTAATGTCAGGAAATGGTTACACCAAACGATAACCATGTAAATTAACTGATTAATTCATATAAAATCCATCTTATACACACATAAGCAAGCTGTTCTCTCTCTCATTACCTAGTGGTTTCTTTAAAAATAAACTGATCTAAGTGAAAGCTGGACATTAAAAGGACTACATCTCAGCTACATATCATAGAAATATAAAGTGAGGTACTCACATTGCATTGCTGGAGAGTAATTCCCGGCTTGTATTAGAAGGTTTTCTCTGAAATCGCCCACTTTTTCTTTTTCCCGTTTTCTGTAAATGCGGTGGCTTCAGTTTTCCGCTAAACACACACACACATACACACACTCTCCCTGTCCGCTGTTTCTACAACTTGAGCAGCATATCATTCATTTTCAAACACCAGCCGGCTCTGTAGGTCCCACCCCCTGAAAACCCCACCCAGACAGGCCTGCCAGCTTCCTCCAGACACATGCCCCCCTCTTCCTGGATCACCCAAAAGCAACCTGATTGGCTTAAACTGCTCACACCACAAGACTGGTTTTCCATATAAGGCCACGCAAGCCAAATGACTAGGAAGGGGGAAGTGACACACACACACACACACACACACACACACACACACACACACACACACACACACACACACACACACACACACACACACACACACACACACACACACACACACACACACACACACACACACACACACACACACACACACACACACTTGAGATAATGATATGAAACTTAAACCCATCCCCCTACAGAGATACTCCCATGCACACACACTTAAAACACACGTTGCAGCTATGTTGGTTGAGGTTACTGTCGGACAGACTGTATGCAAAGTAGTCTGATTACAAGTGCAGCTGTGCTGGCTTCGCTTTATGACTTTCCACTGAAATCATTCTTATGCACACTGCAAAGACACCCAGTGACCTACATGATTAGAGATACTACACACTTATCTAAGGCTGCACAACTTAATCGAAATATTATCGACGTGGTCTTCTTCGAAATGTAAATCACAGAAGCTGCAGTTGTTTGATAAAAGCTAAAATGTGATAAAGCAGCATGATAATGACGTACTGGAGTGACGCAGAGATGGCTCACAAATCTTCTACTTCAGATTTGAGAGAACATGTTGAAAAACTGTGACACAAAAATAATAATTCCCACACTATTTCCGCATCATATCGCAATGTTTGTACCACATTGTGCAGCCCTTACATTTATCTTCTTCCTTCTTCCCATCTTGCTCAGTTTTAAGCCACTGTAAGCCAATTAAGGATGCAACAGATTATTCCCTCAATGCACTCACTAATCCTTTTGTCTACAAAATGTCAAAATTAAACGAGGTCATTAGAATTTACATTTTAAAACTACGAATGTTATAATGCAAGGGTGTATTAAAAAAATCAGCCCCAATCCACTCATCTATACAGAACGTGTAGAATAATTTTCCCATAGCATCCCATATGAGAAGAAGAGGCACCTGTGACAACACTTTACAGATGCAGTCGTCCCGTTCTACCAATAGAGAAAGTCTACAGATGTGGTGGAGCTTCACATTGTCAAAGATATGGTATCTTCTGTAGTTTGTCTTGGAAATCGGGTTTCATTCATTCATTTATTTTTAGGCCACCCTTGGACAAAATATAGTAAAAAAAAAACGTCAATCTCAGATTGTTCAAGGTATTGCAAAAGTAAAAGGGTCTCTGCAGATATAGACACCACAACACCTCTAGTGGGTCATAAGTGTTGATTGAGAGGGATTAATTCTTTATTTTATAATCTAAACATTGTCCTACTCATTCTGCTTTTAAGTAAAGTATCTGAATACTCGCTCCGTCACTGCAAAATAGTGTCATACAATGGATGCTGAAGCTAATCAAATTAAAAACATTGCTGACTGCCTCCAACCTGACTGTGGCATTCACTGCACAGTGAGGTCAGACTGCCCCACAGCAGTATTAAATACACCCAAACAAGTGTTTCTTAACATGAGAAGCTTCTCCTGGTAGACTGTATTACTTCAGTGTTAACACTGACTCCATTACTCATAGCATTGTTGGGAGTCTAATCTTAGCCCTCAGACTAAAAGTCAAAACTGTGACACAGCTTGACAAGTCAATCCTGTACTTCTTGTTCTTTAGAGCCATGACCTGATATACAGGGTGCAAAAACAAAGACAGCAGCTATAAAGAAGAAAGAAACTGCAGGAAACGAAACAAATCCTTAAGAACTACCCATAGTAAATATGTTGTAGGCAAACACTGTACTTTTAATCCAGCTATGAAAATAAAAAGGAGTGAAAAACAGGTCATGAATATGCCAGCCTCTGGGAAGAAGTAGTGGGTGAGGGTTCATATACAAACATTTAATTTCACTTTAACCTGTGGGTACATCCAAATGAGAGTAAGTTACCATTGATACACACAGAAAATCATTAATCAAATAGTCAAACAGAACCAGAGGTTTAAAGAAAAGAAGAAAACCTGTCTTACTGGGGGATTAGACCAAAGGAATTTCCTTTACACAGTTTCCCCTAAACTCCCTCCTCCAACGTTCAATAGGTCAAGTAAAGAGCAAGTAGAGGAAGTAGAAAGTACACATTTCCATCTCAAACAGATCAACATACAGTGTAAAAAAACAACTAAAATACATCCGACCCAAAAACCTGAAACCATAAGATTCCCATACAATTGGAAATGTAAATAAATGTGCCAGCATATAAACATTACATCAATTTAAAACAACTGTTTTTGTTAATTTGTTAATTATCTTATAAGCTTATTATTTGCAGCTCACGTCTAAAAACATCTCTCACGTGTGGAGATGCTTCAAATGACTTCACAAAAAGTGTGTGCCATCACCACTCTATAGAAAGATCAGTCTCAGCCAATTGCCACGAGAGACGAAAACGCAGAGCCACCACACCACAGCATCACGTGACAAACGAGGGGGCCAGCTGATCCGCTCTACCCATGCGCAAAACGCTGAAATGCTGCAGGATGTGTTTAGTGCTGATGCACCGTGCACTGAGGTTACTGTCGGTCAGTGACATCCTCCCTCTCATCCCACGCTCCGCTGAGGCAGTGCTGTTATCTGATCAGTTACATTCATTCAGTTATTGTACTTCTTGAGGTGTTTATTCTTGAGAATTTCCATTTTCTGCTATATGTATATATGCACACACATTTAAATTGAGCCCACATTTACCAGCTGTACCATTAAAGTATTACAATAATATAATATTGCATTATTCTGAAGTGGCCTGTTCTTATAAAATTTGTATTTTTACTTTTTGTACTTAAGTTTTAAATGTATGACTATACTGACTATATTTTGTAGCAAGTAAGTCTATATTTTAGTTAAATTTTGGAGGTATAACTTTATCCTGAAATGTTTTTACAGGAGAGTATTTATAACAATCTGAATATTTCTTCCACCACTGCAAATGACATATACAAATAACATATATTCTCCAGTCTGTTTACTTATAGGATAGGATAAAGGCCAAATAGCTGCTATTTAAACTGTGATATTTACTGTAGTGCGTTAGGCTCAAGAGGATCAGGTTGTCTCTAAAGAGGTTCCCTAAAGACCTTCCACAAAACCTGGCAACTGTTTTTTGAACATACTGAACCCCTGACTATAAATAAAGAATCAACAAATAACTGTGCTAATTGCCTTATTAGTGCAGTTTAAATTTATTTTATTGTCTTATTTTTATTTATTATTATGTCCTGGTGTGCCTGTGTGTGTTGAAGAGGGTCTTACCTACAAGGGGAAGGGACCAGGAACTGATGGGGATGGGAGTGGCTATTATCTGTTGTGTTATATTACCTGCGCAAAACTAATAAAGAGATTTGAAAGTAAAATCATCACAAACATAAAATACATTTAACATAAAGTTTAATTTGTTATATTTTCTGATTGAAGCTCGATATTTAAATCACATTGTAAAGTCAGTGTCCGTGGTGAAAGAAGAACACATATATTTTACTTAAAGCATCAAAAGGATTCTTCTGAGTGCTGTATTATTATATTATTGGATCATTTGATAAATGCCATATACCATTACGAGCATGTTAATGTTGTAATTTGGAGGTAATTTTAAGTATCTTATATCCTGTTTGGTAGTTTAATCCATAACAATGCATCACATTTATAAGGGGATCATATGTTTTGAATGTAAAGTAGTGCTGTAAGAAAAATGTAATGTATAAAGTAGCAGAAAATTAAATACACTCAAATAAAGTATCCACACCAAGGGATAAATAACGTATAAATAACAAAATAAACATAAATATGTATAAATAATTAAATAAACAAAATTGTTTTGCATTCTCCTTCATACATGAAATACATTTAATACCTGAACAGGTAAAATTACAGAGAATCACATACTTACCATCCAAAAACTACATCTCCCAGAAGGCTTTGACGGCATAAGAATAGCAAAGACTCATGGGAAATGTAGTTGCTGAATAAATGCTAACAATAATATAATAATAATCATCTTTTAGCTTGGGTAAAATGAGGAGTTGTTAACATTTAACCACCCAGCACAGCTTTACAACCCGATATATATTTGATTATGGGCAGAAACCCTCAGTTATATGTTTCAAAATGTAGATTTATATAAAACATTTGGAGCTAACCCCAGCCATAGAGGCTAATGTAGCAGCTAGCTACGGTTGCTATGGATGAGATAAAGTGATAATAATGTGAAGCTATAAACTCCTGTGTGTTGTTTTATATGTCACTTTTCACTCATGGTAAAGCGCTTCGGTGTGGCACAAGTTTCATTTAGCTTTAACAAGCGCGCTGCAGTTAATGAACTTATAATTTGCCCAAACAAATAACACCTCAATGATCAATAATCAATAATCAATCAATCGATGGTGGCTGTGACCTACCAGAAGAAGTTATTGTCGGTGTCTGGTTGTGAGGAGCTCCTTTCACATCCACGGAGAGCTGAACTGCTGCTGTGTGACACCTGTTGGAGGCTGTCTTTATTATTTATCCCACTATAACTATAAACCAGTGGGTGCCAACCTTTTTGTCCTTAAATGACCCTGTAGTAAACTGATGACCTCCTGACTCAGTGACTCTTTTTATGGGTGTTTATTTGTTTATTTTTATGATTATATATATAAAAAAAAAACACTGTACAATGAACCTAAATAGTGTGTGTGTGTGTGTGTCTGTGTGTGTGTGTGTGTGTGTGTGTGTGAAACAAGTGATTTGGATGAATTTTAAACAGATTATTTCCCATTTAGGGAACAATTGTTTTTTTTTTAATCATTTTTAACAATCATATTTTGTTTTTGCACATTTCTGTAAATCTCTTTACTCATTTATTTAAGTACTGGCCATTTT